TAAATTTCCGGGCATGGGCTATGTACAAAGGCTCTTGCAAGGGGGGACGCAAAATCCTAAATCCTAAAGTGATGTTTTCCGTCTGGGCTACTGCAATGGCAGGAAGTCGGAAGCTCGAACCAAGTAGTGCTTTTGCTTGGGCAAAGCCTGCCCAAGGAAACGTCCATCAAATCGTTGTGAAAGAAGGACCTAAGCTCCCTATAAAGCGAGGTATACTTATCTGGGGATACTTGTGCACTAGTACAAATCATTCAGACCCCTACGTGTTTTCATGTAGCCACACCACTTGGTGGCAATATTCCTTGTGCTTCCCGGCAACCTAGGTCCTACCTGATCCCGCTCCCCATAATTAGAAGCCCCAGACCTGGCCACAGACCCTCAAATGCGAACCCTGGGCCGTAACCCCTGAAACGCTGAACCGAAAAGACCGAAAACCCTACCCCCAACTTAATTACTAGTTCAGCCTATGCCTTTATGATAAAGGGCAAGAATAGTATGCCTACAGCCTAAACCCTAAATATGCCGCGCTCCCCCACCCCCCAACCCCCCACCCCCTTGCCTCCAAAGTGACCGGCACCATCTTCCGAAAGGCACTCCCTTCAGCGCGGGCTTCTGACACCTGCATAGGATGACTAGGTGCGGAGTTCAGGGTTAAGGGTTTAAGGTTTTCGGGTTTAGGTGTTTAAGGGCTGAGGGCTTTGGAGGGCTGACTCGTTAACACGGGCCTTGTAGGGTTTGATGGGTCTTGTGGTGTTTTATGTGGCTCATTGGCTTTATACTTTATGGATTGGAACCTGAGTTTTCTTCAACGGTCCATGTACCTATATCTTGTATGCCTTTATCTTGAAGTGTATTTACAGTCCATGAGGCAAAGCATCATCATATACTATACAAGTAGAAGGATCCTTGTGGACAGGGATCCGGGAATCCAATAGCCCACCGCGGGCTAGGCGATTCGTAGAATAAGGACTTACGGTATAAGACTTTCAGCGCTTATACTCCGCATACCAGTCCGGGGCAGATGATAAAGAATCCATGGGCTTCATGGGCTTACAGTAGAAGCCCAAAAGTTGGAAACCCAATAGCCTCGATCCTTAAGAGTAATGTATAGGGATTCCCAGCACTATTTGGCCTTAATTCGGGTTTCCAACTTTATGGGGTTTACTGTACTTGTTTGCTGAAGATGACGTCCGAGCCGTCAGGAGCCAACTTTGGGGAGATACAGAGACAGATACCTCATCATCATAGCGATAGGGCTGAAATCAAGATTAGGTGCTGATGACTGCCACTACATACCAAAGACATAGCTGGGCTGAATACTTCGATTTAGCTAACCTGAGAAGAACCGACTTGCATGTCATTGGTGAAACATCATTCCTGCGTTGAAATTTCGAACGTCAAGATGCAACTGTACAATTCTTCCTTCGTCCCCTACAAGTTGGGGAAGTCACCGCGCTGCGCCTTCATGTTCAAGTGCACGAACAGCGCTCCGACCCATCCACCAACACAACCTGAATCTCTGCGTGGAAGCGTGGAACCAAGCTCGGGCTCCCTACTTGGAGGGTCGGCGACTTAGTAGGTAGTAAGTAGACTTATAAGTACCCGAAAAGGGACCCTAATTGGGGTTATGGTACTTAGAAGTCCCTAAAATAACTAGTTCCTAACTCCCCGACCCTCCAAGTATCTCAATCCGCCCTGTACGCACAGTATGCACGCAGGCAGGCATATGAAACATGTATATCCCGAAGCAGTGGCAGAAATAGAGGGAACGCCTCGATGTCGCATCCCGATCTACTCAACGCCCGTTGAACACACTAGAGCTAGATCTCACTTCAGCTCAAACTCAGGCATAGGTTCCGGTAGAAGCTTCAGTAAACCAACTGAGAGGGTCCACATACCAACATAGGTTCTTAGTCTGAGTATATAGGATAACGACTGTACTTGCAGCATATACTGTGGAGGCCCAACTCCCTGCTTGGAGGGTCGGGGGACTTAGTAACTGGTTATTTTAGGGACTTTTAAGTACCATAACCCCAATTGGGGTCCCTTATAAGGTACTTCTGCGTCTACTTACTACCTAATTACTAAGTCCCCCGACCCTCCAAGTAGCTATCTGCGAAGAAACTACTCTGTTGCTTCGACCCTGTCGGAGTCTGATTTCTGGGTTACTACCTATAGTCTGGATTCTAGTTCCTTTGAAAAAGGTGGTGAATTATGTTAGGGATCGTTTATAGGATCCTAAAGGAAAAGAAGCAACTACAACGGAGACTGTAGGTAATATTCGGGGTTGGCACCAATCGTAACCCGTCACCAACCCGATCCTCGAAGAAGCCCTGAGACCCCGGCACGAAACTGCGTCTAAAGGGAACTCCAGAAAGTTGGAATATGGATTAATGGTAGGATCCCCTATAATTTACCTTAAAGGGGTTACGATAATGATGTTCCAACTTTCTGGCTTCTACTATAGGGGAATCCCAGAGCATACGACGCGATGATGTAAAGCATGTGTTTGCGGACCCGTGCAAGGCAGGAGAGCTTCTACAAGGCCACACGCCCCAGAATGAAGACCAATGCTGGCCCAGGATTCTTCAGGTGCACCTTACCGAGAATCCCGAATCCGCGGCTAGAGCAGCCAAGGCAATTCAACAAAGAGCTATGCTAGTTCGGGGTCATTGCTATGCTCTGCTCCTAAACCGAGAGAGACATAAAGTTCCCTCATCCCTCATCCCTCAATCAAAAACTCTGCTCCAAGCCGAGGAGCCCATCAACAGAAACAAGGGGTACTCAACCCAGGAAGGGCGCTGATTGTACTGCCTGCCGTCAGCAATTCAGGACTCTTGGGTCGGAGTTTCGGATTTATCTGAGGGGTTTGAGGTTTTGGCCGGTATGCGTACGGGATTAGGAATCCTGAAGTTTCGAGCTTTTGCTCAATCCGTCTCCCTCGCTGTCTCTGTCTCTCTCTTGCTTGCTTGCTTGCTTGCCGGGCGTTTGGGTTGAGGGAAGCAAGTTCCCCTCCCCCTGCGTGCGAGCGCTAAGAATGTGTTCGTCTCAGGTATGTCGATGTGAAACTTGACTGTGATCCCCGACTCCCCACCCCTTTGCACCCTGTCTCTCTCTCCCTCTCTCTGTCTCGCTCGTTGTCTTGGAGCCATCACTGCCTCAACCACCTGGTTTCGCCACTATGGGGCTAATTCGGGCATTTGAGCTGTGGGGGTTTAGGGATTGGCCTCAGGGTTTTGAGATAACCCAACCTCTGGCAACGGTGGGCTGTAATATAGGGACCTTAATAATTAGAATAGAGTTTTGGGGGCCCATTATACTAGGATTATAATAAGGAACCCCCAACATGGTATTGGTAATAAGGAACCCCGAACATGGTATTGGTAATTATTTAAGCCCCTATATGAACGACTCCTGCAGGTGCCGAACAAGCTCCCAGATCTTGGGGCCTCTGAGTAATGTGTATACTTGGAGGCTCATGGGTAGCTATAAGTGGCTGGAAAAGTTCCCTAATGTGGGTTATAAGTATACTTACGCTACATATAACCCTACTTATAAAATATAACTACCATGAACGTCCAAGTAGACCTTAAACAACAAATCCTGAACTGGAAGCTTACACCAAGAAGGGAAGCAACTCTGACTCGTAAACCGAAAACATGACCCTAAATCCTAGCCCACCGAAACCCTTTTGCAATACCCCTAAACCCTAAACCGACAGCTTCCGAGAAAAAATAAAGAAGGTTTTTGACCCTCGCAACGCGCAACAGGCAGGCAAGGCTCACTACAACTGGGTTCAGACACGAAACTACACCAGGCAGCACAAAGTGAGGAGTCCAAAAAGGTACCCAACATGAGTGCTAAGGACATCTAAAAGACTAAGACACGAAAACCTCACTTCGAAGGCTTAGGAATGCGGACGTCCGGGGGCGTGCTTTAGAGCTGTAACAGCTAATAGCAGTCAGCCCTAGCACTGCCCTAACCTTGGATATGGGCACAGCTTGGAGTACCGTTCGGAGGCATATTCAACATATAGTTATATGAGGACTGACAGTCTTGCTAATTCAAACGCGGCCTCTATACAGTATGCCGCAAAGCCTCACGCGGCGCAAGGCCGTGCGAAAAACTTTTGGCCAAGCCACACGTCGAAAAGAGTCAACTTCCCAGTTCCCAGAGGATCGTACCTGAGCTTACATTGGTTTAAGGTTTTAGATACTTACTACCTCAAGGAACAGCTCCAAACCAAGCATGATGGAAAAGAAGGCTCTCGAAACACACGGGGTGAGCACAGATTAACTTTAATTCGCGTAGATTCTGGGGATTGAGTGGGATGATCCGTCAAGATGTGACCAGCTGCCCATTTGCACTAGTATTATGCTCTGAACTGAGAACTATAATGATGCTGAGCCATCATGTGGGTGGTTGTCAAAATTATGGTCCTTTCTTCTACAAAAGGCTTCACCGTCAACGAGGAAGCTACCCAAGTCCGAAAGCCTTTATCAACCGGGATTTAGGTAGTGACCGCAGAAATACACACAACCGCTCATTCAAGCATCACTCGCTTCACCCTATGTCGCCGAAGCTCACTTTGCCTCTCGCTTCACCTCATGTTCGCTCTCTTCACCTCTCACACACACACACACACACCACTAATACATGCCGCCACGTTGCCAAGCAAGCGTAAGTGCCGCTACTACAGCAGCCTGGGGCTAGTTTCGCAGTGAAACAGAGCGCAGGGCTTTCATTAAGTTTCAGTCTTCTGAGAAGGGATGTGACAAGTCTACTGACCTATGGGATGCTCGGGGGCTGTAGGGGATCCTGGGAAATAGGGCCCAGTCCTGGGGGAAGGCTTTGAAGAGTCAGGTTCTTGGTGCGAAGTTATTCTGATCCTTCTGGGCCAAAGTCTACATGGATGCAAGCGCGTGGACAGTCGGAGTGCAGGGGACTTTCCTCTCATGCCCCACTGCTTGAGGCCTAAGGAGTTTATGATGAGGAGTTCCCTAACGCGGGTCGCAAGTCTTCAAATGGCCAATATCTACAACATTCCACAACTGCGCCCCTTCCACCCACACCTGCTGAAAGGACCGAAGCCAGCACTTCCAAGGACGGATGCCCAAGCTGCGAAGAATGCCCGGATCATCGTCGATCTGGGAAACATGGTTGAGACCTCTGCAACGAAGTGCAAACTCCGTGGCTTCCTTACCTATAGTCTCCATTGTAGTTCCTTTTTGTGGTTAACCAGTTTTATGGTTAGGACCCTATAATGGTTAGGACCCTATAGTAAAGATTTTCGTTAACCAAAAAAAGGAACTACAATGGAGGCTATAGGTAGATCCTGAGAATGGGTGAAACACTGCCGTGGCTTCAAAAGAAGATGCTCCCGTAGCTGAAAGCTTCCTTCCCAATCAAGGTTGTAGCGGACCTGGCCACCCGTACGGTTGATAAAATAAATCCTGCATTACCTTAAGGACCCTAGCCCAAGACTATGGGAACTGTGGCATAATCATTCCTTATTATGGGAAATGCAGGATTTATATCATCAGCCGTATCATGTCTAAGATGCCTTATAAGCCTGAATCTAGCAGCGAGTCGAATGGGAGAATCCTGCAACATGGTGCTGCAACTCCCGCTCCGGCGATCACTATCTCCAGCACCATAAGGTTTCGGGTTTAGGGTTTACGGTTAGGGTTTAGGGTTTTCGCCGACAGCTGTAGTGGGTTTCGGGCCTAGAGCCTAGCTTTACTCGCATGGACAGTTCTCTCGTCAGTTTAGTTGTTCTCTTCTGCACGCAGCAAGCAGCATACCAACTATCCGAATCAGCCTGAGCCTTATGCCCTAAACTGCCCTTTTATACCTGGACTACGCATAAACTGCCCTAAACCCGATTCCTACCTCCCTTTTTGCAAAAGCTCCCAGAATCCGCGGAAGCTTCAACTCCCTGCTTTTTGCCTCCTCGTAGGAGAAGAGGACGCCGCCCACCGGGGCCCCGAAAGCCACAGAGACACCTTGCTTCTTTCAAGTTGGGAATGGGAAACGAGACATAAACACATAAATGATAATGTATGTGTGTGTGTGTATGTATAAATGTATATGTAATATGTGTAGATTATTTGTGTATATACAGGCATGTATGGATGGGAGCTTGAGAAAAGTCAGTTTAGGGCTTGGGGTGCAGGGGCCCGAATGTAGAATCCTAAACAGTTGGATCCCTATTTCAAGGTCCCCAAGTTCTTGCTTCGCGTGATTCGAAAGGGCTCGAATTTAACGAGCTGCCCATACAGCTCGGACCTTCCACAGGGCTTCCGATCCCGTACCGAAATTTCACAAAATGGCACTGACAGTTGCAAGCTGCGAGAAGGGATTCTATCTTGCCACGCTGTCGTGCTACTGGTGATTGTTCGTTCAAGCCCTCCTCCGAAATCCTAAACAGAAACGAAGCTGGCATCAAGGCACTAAGGTTGACATGCCGTGGACCCCTTGACTAGAGCGGCCTGACGACATCACCGAAAGTCCCAACTATGCCGCAGATGGGCAGTGACAGGTTGTACTACAGAAGCCTGAATAATCGCCTACATTATTCCTGAAGATTCCTACTATATCTCCCCAAAACCCATTGATTATCAAAACGTTAAACCTTTCATTTCTGGTAGCAATATCTCCCCAAAGCCCATTAATTATCAAAATGTTAGACCTTTCACTTCTGGTAGTAATATATTAACCCCAAAAGGCAGCAACGAAGCCTCAGACCTGAACTTGCTACGTCTAATAAGCCATTCCCAGCCCCGGCTCTACTCCCGAAAAGCCCTAAACCCTAAACCAAAAAAACAGACAAGCATATACCCCAAAGCCCATCCTCAACCCTAAGAGCTTTGAGCTCCCTTCTCTTCGCGGTGGAGCACCTGCTGCGCTGGCCACACTCAGCAGCTCGCGGCGTCGACCCTCGTTTGCCTGATCTCCGTAAGTTTTAGGCCTTAGGGTCTGTGGCTTGGGGAAGGCTTCATGTTTGAAGTGGCTTATCAAAGAATCCAAAGGCTCTAGGCTAAGGCAAGGCGAGGCCAAGGGCGGGAGCACCTGTTTGGGGTGTTGGGATTGGGGCATTGGGATGCACTGGGTCAGGGGCCCAAAGCAAGAACAAATATCGCGCACACGAACTGCTGGTGTGTGCTCAAATCCCGGATGCCCCGCCAGCCCGAAGAGGATTCTCAAAAGGACCGCAAGAGTGACAAGACCCAAGCAAATGCCAAGTCATTAATAGCGACATCTAGCACACCGTTCGGAACGACAACCACAAGCACCACCACCACACCACCACACCGCCGCCGCCACCACCACCGCGCCGCGCCGCCACTGCCGCAGCAACAGCAGCAACAACAGCTGCTGCTGCTGCTGCTATTGCTACTGCTACTGCTACTGCTACTGCTACTGCTACTGCCACCGCCAGCTGCAGCTACTGCCACAGGCAGTGTTGCTTCTATACTGCTGCTGCTGCTGCCACTGCGGCTGACAGCTACAACAACTGCCACGGCTGCTGCCACTGCTACTCCTGTTGCTCTGCTAGTGCTACTGCCGTTACCACTTCAGACTACCACTTCTACTGCTTCTGCAACTACTGCAACCACTACCACTACGACAACAACTACTACTACCACCACTACGACGACGACTGCGACGACGACTACGACTACGACTACTACGACGACGACGAATAAACATACTGCTGCTAGTGGTAGCTCGATACTTCTACCACGACGACGACTACTACCACTGTTGCTCGTCACCTACTGCCACGACGACGGCGACTACCAACTACTACATGCAGCTTGTCGAGACGCTTACCGCCACCGTGGCTACTATGCCTACTGCCACGACGACGACTACTACCAACTGCAGGCAGCTGGGCTCATGGCACATGCTGGTGGCACTTGCAAGGCTGCTACTGGCTGGCAGTCAGCATCATGAGCAGCAAGTGACTTTTCAACGTAAAAGAACAAACAATCTGAATCTCGATTCCAGGCTCGGAGTATCTGTCGAACCATTGGCTACAGACATTTGCCCAGCAGCACGCCTGGGCTGGGTCCCAAACAACGGATCTCAGCGTCTGAAGGGCTACTATACGGCTCGGACAAATTCGTAATACGAATCGAGGGTTTCGTTTCCTCAACTAAGTGTAATTCCCCACTCTAATCTAGTTTCGAAGGCGCCTATATGACCGACTTCTGAGGTTTCCCACCTCGCAACTCGCACTGCTGGCAGATGACGTCTCAGGGAGTGCAGGGTTTAGGGTTATAGGCTTTAGGGCCTTAGGGTTTTCAATTGCAGCAAGTTGGGGTACAGGTTGGGGTTCTTCTAGGGGTTTAATTATACGGCTTGTATATGTTTATCAACTGGCTTTGCAACGTCCCAATTTCTCCACGCCCTGAGCTCCAAGTCGCTCATAATACGTGTATTCAAAATCTTGGACCTCCAGGTTCTCCCGAAGGGTCCATGTACTCATATAGTATATACATTGGCCCTAAAGTACTCCATACATAGGTTACATTGGGCCCAAAGTATATGCTATATGGGTACATGGACCCTTAGGGTTCTGGAAGCTTCAATGCAGTGAGTATGCTTCGAAGCACGCACTTGGAACAGGGGCCCGGGAGGTTGCTTCGGACTTCTTCAAGTTAAGTGAGCTTCTTGGGGTTTGCCGCGAAGCCCTTCTCCAAGAAGCTCATTTCAGGCAAGAGGCAATGTGCACGGTCCTCGGGTTGGGTCGAGTTTGGCTTCGGTCTGGAATTCAGGTGTTTGGGGGTTTCTGAGTGAGCTTGGACCCGTAAATTCCGCATAAGTGCAGTGCAAAATATCTTTCACAATGCAACGTTAACATTACCTATGATCTCTATTGTAGTTCGCTTCTTCGTCTAATATCCATGAGCCCCACTATTTTACATTCCCTCAACTCGGTTAACCCACAAGGAATGCTAGGTACATGGCCTTGCACTTGGGACACGGACGAAGCCCCGACACCGAATCACGGATCTATCAATGTCACTTGGCTCCAAGGGTAAAAGGAGGGACCCTTAATAAGGACCCCTAGGTATATACCCTTATTATAGCCATTATATAGCCGATTATAGGGTAGAGGTCCCCGTTAAGGGGTCCGTCCTTTTCCCCTTTGATTGGCCTGTGCTCATTTTGCTTCAGGACCGACGTCGGATATGTCTTACACTTCTGCCCGGTTCCGTGTGTATCTATGGTCTCCATTGTAGTTCCTTTTTTGGTATGACCAATTATATATTAAGAGTCCAGGAACTACAATGGAGACTACAGGTATGCTGCTAGGATAGAGCTAAGCTTCAGGCCGAGACCTTAAGCCCCGATTCTCAAACCCTTTACGAAGGCCATGCTCGCTTGAAGGAGGCCTCGCCCTGCTTCCGAATGCCTTAAGCCGTCGGGTTCATAGGGTTGAGGGTTAAGTGTTGGGGTTAAGGGTTTAGGCATTACGTTTTGAATGGTCTTGGACTCGGGGTTAACGGTTGAGACAGTAGAAATGAGCTCACTTCTGCAGCTCATTAGAGAGACCCAAGGTTAACATTTGGGAATCGGTAGGGCCCAACAAGGTTCCTCCAACACTAAGTTAGGGTTTCGAAACGAATACTACTTTAAGCGTATATTCTGCTCTACATATCATAAGGGACCCCCAAATAGCATTAGTAGTGGCTATTTCGGCCCCTATAGTAACATATTAAGCAACCCCCAAATAGTATCGGTAGTAGTTACTTCGGCCCCGATTGGTAGATGAAGAAACCCGCCACAAATAGTGTTGTAGCTGTTTAAGCTCGTAAAATAGTATATCAAGGAACCGCCCCCCCCTCAAAAAAAAGTACTTTAGGCCATAACCCCCAAACTCTTAAGCCTTAAACCCTAAAAGCTCTAAACCTTTCGAGAGGTACTGTAACTATTTCGCCCGCTATTTTGAGTCCTTCTGTTGATGATATAAATCCTGCATGACCCGTAATAAGGAATATACAATAATTCCCATAGATTAAGGGTCCTTAAGGTAGTGCAGGATTTATACCATCAACCCTAAACCCTAAAACCCTATAGATCCCTTAAAGGAAGCCCTTAAAGGTACCCCTATAGATCCCTTTAAAGGAACCCTAGGACTTATATCATCAACCGTTGCAGCAAAGCCTCGGCCCCTCTTTGCCCAATGCCATGCCCGAGGAGACTGAGAGCATCAGACCAAGAACCTCTCAGGTTTACCTTAAGCTACCATAACCGACTTTTTGTAGGTTCAAAATATAAACTCCAATATGGAATTTATAGGGACCCTACTTTTTGTAGGTTTTGGTAGGTTAAGGTACAGTAGAAGCCAGAAAGTTGGAACATGGCTTTAGGAGGATTGATGCTAGGATCCCTTATACTTTACCTTATGGTCATGAGGAGTCTAGTGTTCCAAGTTTCTGGCTTCTACTATAGGGTTTTAGGGTGTAGGGCTTAAGGGCTCAGGGGTTATGTAGGGGCCTGAAATATTTATCCCAATGCTATCTGGGCCTGGGGGGTTCCTTCTTTGAGTATTGTAGTAATACACCCGCAAAGCCCTGTTCTTATTTTTACGGCCCCTGTATTTTGGGATCTCTGAAAGAAGGCTTGAGGTGCTAGGGGTTTAGGGAGCAGACATCCAAGAAGGACAGTTTCCCACAGTACGCCAGACAAGGTTTGGGGTCCATAAAGTTACCCTGGAAGCATCTAAAGCCTCGCGGATCAGAACATGTAAGTAGTACCTGCTGCGACTGGGGGCGCGGGACATCTTGCATCGACCTATTGTTTTGCCTCCCCTGGCTAGGACGAACCTACGATGCAGGGTCTGACGTCTGGCTCATACAAAGACTGTACATGCGGGGGCAAGCCTTGGCGACTACCGTCATCGCTTTTCACGGGCTCGATTCAACTGAGCTCCCCTTGGCACCGACAGCCAGAATCATAATGAACAACAGTCATAAACCCAAAATCCACGATAAGACCCAAGCAGAAGGAAGAAGACACTCAAGTGTGGATTCAAGCCGTCACAAACTGTTCAGGGCTCTGGGGTGATAATTTCGGGGCTGCTTGATGTGGGGCGGTTGAATGCATGGTGGGGTCCCGTGGTTGAGGATGCACAACAAGGGCGTCAACCCTGAACCCTCAACCCTAATTCCTACCAAATGCCCGGCCTTGACAATGAGAGTTCGCAGGGACAGCACATCTTTCCTCGGCAAGAAGAGATGTGAAACACTGGAAATATAGCTCATCATCCGTAATGGTAATGGTCGTACACATTGACGACAATGGAAAATCAATGAGGGAACCGAGTTCACAGATCACAGGTTCGCCCAGCAGCGAAGAGGAGCTATCATGAAGGCCTTAGACATGTTGCGCAAACAAGAGCTACGGTCCTCAAGCCTAAACCTCACATCGTCTTCGCGAACTGCTTCAGAAACCATTGCAGTTTCGAACTTCGCCCCTAAACCCTAAACCCAGACTCCAACAGCCTCACACCCGATGAATCTCAACTCAACATCCCCGAGCCCTAGATAGCCAAATCCCCCACAGGTCCGCAAAATATATACAGGTTCCCACAACCGTTTGCCCATCAAGCCTAAAACCATCAAAAGTACACGTGCCAGGCGGCTGAGTTCTGAACAACATTATGGACCAAACGGACTAGTAGTCGGGTATACCGAATTCTATCAAAACCAAATTCCCATGAACTCCGTACAGACACCCTTGAACTGTGAAACCACTTGCTAAAATCCTACTGAGCTCTTGTATACCCCTCCTCCGCTCTCAAAAAGCCCCTTATAACTTATAACCCCTAAACCTCTAAACCCATTCCTTAGCCTTATCAATACGACAACCCCTAAACTCGGAACCCTAAGCCTCCCCCCTCCCCCCGCCCTCTCAAAAAAAGGCCTCCTCTCTCTCAAACCAAGGCCTACCAGGAATACGAGAGTCATGACGAATCCCCCGAGGATGGTCTTCCTGGAAAGGAGGGAGCGCTTTGGCTTTAGAGCTCAGGGTTCAGGGGTGTAGGGTGGTGGTTTAGGCTTTCGAGCTTAGGGGATTGCGGGTTCCTGAGAGCGCCTTGTTACAATTCTAGTCTAAAGGGTCCCAGAACCCTCTTCTAATTATGGCCCCTGTGTTACTGGTATTGATGCCTCTCTTCCGATCTGGGCCATGCCAAGCCTTTGTTCTGGGTTTCTGGGATTGGGAGGGATTAAGGTGACTAGGATTTTAAGGTAGCGGCTCTTTTTAATGAAGCTTCCAGAATGTATTTCCTTTATGCTACGGGAGTTTGTCTGGTTCTGCCATCTGGTTCAAGAACAATACGAGGATAACTCGCAGTTAGTCCTTGTTCCTCATTACTATACACCCCTTAGAACCATAATAAACATAATGTAGTCAATAATATTCTCTTGGGTTTTATATAAACAAATATAAAGAGGAGACCATCGATCATGGTTACTTACAGTCGGTCCGGTAACTGGGACCCAAAGGCGCCACTGGCATTCGGGGCTGTCGGTTTCCGGTGTTACTCCCAGAGACTCCAATAGCCCTGAATTAAGGAATATACCTTAATTCATCTTTGGGATCCTACTTAAGGAATAGACCTTACATCATTGGAGTCTCTGGGCGGATGGGACGGGAGCTTCGTAATCGTCGTAATCCTTTCGCAACTTTCGCACCTAGAGGTTTTGAGGTTTTCGGGTGAAAGCTTTCTCTTTTCCCGGAGAAGGGCATTCAAAGGTAGCTGTTATTAGTGTGGGGGGCTTCCGGATCTTGCCCGCTACACGTATTAAGAAACTAACGAACACTAGTTCTAAACATCAAGCTCGTGAGAATGGGAGACTCACATGTGGGAGACCGTGGAGTCGAGAAATGCAGTCGTGGAGTTGAGTAACACACGCTATTCAGCCGATATCGACTGGCTATCGAATGATACTAGGTCTCGTTGGTGATAATTAGCGGCTCTTCGCGAAGGGCGGGGTGCTGCATTGCAAAACCTCGACGCCTTCTACAAAACGTACTGCAGAGCGCTGCACACTGCACAACTCAAGAGTAGCTCCACACAACCACGATCCCGCAAGGAACCAACATTCAGCGGAACATGTCCCAAAACCAAACACCGAATCCCCTCTAAGCACAACCTCGCCCCACAGAACCTGCCTTTTTGGGGGTGACCTTCGGGAATCATGGGGCATATACCCAACCTGGTACAGTAGGGTTCCACATGGTTTCTAGAGATCTAGCACAAGTGTCGAAATCTCTAGACCCCAACAACAACCCCACAAACAACCTGCCTTCTAGGGTTCCGTATCCTAATTTTCATGTGTGTATACATATATATATATATATATATACATGCCCTTGAAAATAGCTCAATGTCCAGGTTTTTACTTGTAGCAGGTAAACCCTAAACTACAACACCCTGAACCCCAGCCGAGGATCACTTCTGGGATGCCACTGCCACGCGCAGTCGGCGCAAAGACCTGCAAGCTCCCTGCGCTCTGTACCCATGGGCCCCATTTGAGGGTTCATGTTTAGAAACCTATAGGGTAATCCCAAAAAAGGAACTACTACGGGGCCTAATTATGGGTTTAGGGGGCTGTGCGCTCCTTAAACCCGCTATGAATTGAAATTGCAAGGTCTGGCCGACGACAACTCACTCTCGGCCTAACATGAAGAACCCTGATGTATATAACACCAGACCAGCATAGGGCTTCCCGAGTCCGATGAGGTGAAGATTTACGTCATCGGGGTTGTAGGGAGAGGCTGCAGAGCTCTCTAGCTGCTCCAGCTCTCTGTCAAGTCGTCTCTTCTCACCTTAAAAATCGTATAAGAACATTTTCGTATAACATGATACATCTACAGGCAAACACAAAACAACCAACCAAGCATACATTCATACATACACACATAAGTACATGGACACACACACACACGCATGCATACAACACCTGTGCATACACGGACAGATGCACATGCAACACAGACATACACACATGCATGTAAACATACATGCACGTATGCAATAATTGTACAAACACAAACACAAACACATCTACATGCTCATGTACATACACACAAATACATACATACATACATACATGCATACATACATACATTAATACATACATACATACATACGTACATACATACATATAAACACACACATGCATGCGTACATACGTGCGTGCATGCATGACACACATATGCGTACGTGCACGAGTGCATGCACACGTAGCTGAACGATGACTCCACTCCTAGTCCCAACAAACTTCTGCATGTCTACACATACACATCGTGTACATGTATGATCATGTATGAATACATGCTACCATATGTGCATGCATACATACATTGATGTACGTAACATAGTATGATTACATTATGTGTTTATTGAGATTGTATATACACATTATATAAATATGTGTATATATATATATATATGTATGTATGTATGTATGTATGTATGTATGTGTATATATATATATATATACATGTAACCCTATGTGGTATACATGTTTGTATGCCTGCTATACACATGTCAAAACCCATTCTGTGCTTGGAGTCTGGGAGGCGAAGTGCATCCACAGTACATGCAGGACCAGAGGTCCAGAGCAGTTTCTAAACGGGGTTCGGGGTTGTTAGGGTTTTAGGGCAGTTAAGGGATTTAGGGCTCCTTTTTAACTATGAGGGTTTAGAGGTTTAGGATGTAGGGGTTCGGGGGTTCAGAGCAGTTTAGGGGTTAGGATTTATTTAGGGCGCAGGATCTTCGGGCTGTTTTCAGGAGTTTCTTTCCCGGCCCTTGAAAGCCCCCGTAAGTGCGAGAGACCCATTTAACACCATACCCCCCACTTGGAGGGTCGGGGGACTTAGTAACTGGTTATTTTAGGGACTTATAAGTACCATAACCCCAATTAGGGTCCCTTTTCGGGTACTTATAAGTCTACTTACTAAGTCCCCCGACCCTCCAAGAAGTTCCCACGTCCCGCCTTCACCAGCATCGCGGATGCGGTGGCAAACAGAACGCCGACCCCGGCGTAGGCAAGAAATCCGCGGAAGTTTGCCTGGTGCTTCGGTCTTAGAGGCGTTCTACTATTATCACTACGAGTATTAGTACATTTTTGGTTCGGGGCTTAGGTTCAGGGCCAGGGTCTGGGATTTAGGGCGAATAAAATCCATGACCGTATGGGTACCTCGCCTGCACCTACCCATGCAAACGACGAAAAGCTGGGGCTCGAGTCCATCTTGCAGATTCAACGCAAGAAAAGCCGCATAAGCTAACATGCTCCGCTCATCCCTAAACCACCGCTCCATGAACCAGGCCACCTAACTTCACCCACACGCCGTGCGAATCAACGACTTGCAGCAACAGCCAAGACGACAACCACCACCAGTAGGTCCGCAGTCACCCTCGATGTGCGACGACAGTGACGATAGCATCAGCAGCAGCAACAACAACAGCAGCAATGAGAACAACTGCACCAAGCACTGGGAACACACCATCAAAAATCAAGAACATGAAGAGGAAGAAAACGAAAAGGAAGAGCAAGAACAGCAGTAGCAGTAGTAACTGCTGTGGCAGTCGCAGCAGTCGCGCCGACAGCAGGAATTGGAGTAGCAATCGTGGTCGTACTGGCAGCAGTAGTGGCAGTACAGTGGAAGGAGGAGGAGCAGCAGAAGCAGTAGCAGCCAACCACTCTCAATACTTGCTACTCAGTAGCAAGTATTGAGAGTGGTTGTAGTCGCGTAGCCGTAGAAGTCGTAGTAGTAGTGGTAGTAGTAGTGGTAATAGCGTTGGTAATAGCAGCAGTACAATATTAGTTGAGTCCTGAGCATATCAGCAGGAGCACTACCAGCGGCATCATCAATATCATTGTTGTGGCACCAAAGAACAGCCCTAAAAGACCGAATCTCTAGGACCTCAAAAAGTCGTCGCCCCAGCCAAATCCTAAACCTTTAACGGGTTGAGAAGAGAGTGGGGGCCAGCCTCGACGCAGCAAAAACCCTAAACCCCGAATCCCAAACCCCTAAACCTCTATATGCATACCTAAACCTAAACCCCTATATAAACCCCTAAACCTCTATATAAACCCCTAAACCACTATATAAATCCGTAAACCCCTATATAAACCCCGAAAACCCCAAACCCAAAGAAGCCTCCCACGGGCCATCTTTGCCGGCTGCTTCAGACCAAGCGCTCCAGGGAGCGCCGAGGCCTTCGCACTTTGAGTTCCAAGAGACTCGGAAATCTCCCCTTAATTAAGGGTTCCTGATAAAGGGATCCTTAAGGGGATCTACAGGGTTTAGGGTATTAGGGTTCCTTTGAGGGATCTATAATCGATCTATAGGGGGTAAGAGTTCCCAGAGACTCGGACATCTCCCGCCTTTGACTAAGGAATACTCAGGGTTCCTTAAAGGGATCTGTAGGGGATCTATAAGGGATCTATAGGGTTCCTTAGAGGGTTCCGGTTCCTTTAAGGGTTCCTTAAAGGGTTCCTTAAAAGGATCTATATAGGGTTTGGGGTACCCAGAGTCTTCAATTTCCCCCTTCGTTTAAGGAATATATACTTAGGTTTCCTTTGAAGGATATACAGGGTTTAAGGTTAAGGCTTTAATTACCGAATATGCTTTAGGGCTCCTTTAAGGGATCTATAGGGTTTAGGGTTTAGGGCACCCAGAGACTCCAACATCCCTTAGTTACGGAATATGCCTTAGGGTTCCTGAAAGGGTTCCTTAAAGGGATCTGCAAGGGTTCTATTACACGGGACTAAGGAAGATGGCCTTAGGTTTTAACAGGTCCCCTATTATGATTTAAAATATATCCCTTGATTAAAGAATACCTAGGGTTCCTTCAAGGGATCTATAGGGTCTAGGGTTTCTGGTACCCAGAGACTCCAGAGGAATATGTCCCAAAAAGTAGCAGGATCCCTAATCTGATGATCTAAAGTATATTCCTTTATTAAGGGATGGAGTCTCTGGGTTGAGTTCGTGGAGGTACTGATTGATCTCCTCATTGTTCTCATGACTATTTTTGGCATTGTTGCGTTTCATACAACAATACAGACTACGACGACGAGTACTGGTGCTGTTATGCGTTTGATAGCGTGACTACTCGCTGTTGTCTTACGGTCTCGGAAGGATGTTACGTGCAGGAGTGGCTTGGCGGAGGATCTGCTTTCGTGTTGTGTTCTGCCAAGGTGTCCGTGCCTTGCAATTTAGCAGAAGATTTCAGAAAGGACTGTTGTGGCACGGGAACATGCGGTAGTTCTGAAGGGTCTACTGTCCTGATATCCAGCCACCGCAGATATTTCTATGCATTTCGCATCGTATCCCTCTGGCTTGGGGTTTAAGACTTGTATGTATACGAGGATATCGTATAGAGCTGAGCTGAGCACACTACCTCGGCATCCATAACCAGAATTAGCATGACATTCTAGCGCTTGCAAAACCCTAAAACGAAAAAAGCAGACCCGACCCTGACCGTAAACCCCCAAACCCTAAACCCCTAAGCCCTAAACCCCCCCAAACCCCAAAACCCTAAACCCCTAAGCCCTAAACCCCCCCAAACCCCCAAACCCTACACCCCTAAGCCATAAACACCCCCAAACCCCAAAACCCTAAACCCCTAAGCCCTAAACCCCCCCAAACCCCCAAACCATACACCCCTAAGCCCTAAACCCCCCCAAACCCCAAAACCCTAAAGCCCTAAGCCTCCGAGCCCGAACCCTCGGACCGGCCTTCCAGACTGTCGGGATGGCTATACCTGTCGGTTGGTGCTTAAAGGTTTAGGGGTTTGGGATTCTTGCGGTTTGGAGTTTAAGGGATTAGGGGTTCAGGGGGTTTGGGGTTGAAGGGTTCAGGGGTTTGGGGTTTAAGGGCTTAGGGGCTAATGGTTTAGGGTTTTGGGGTTTGGAGATTAGGCTTCGTGCGGTGGCGGGGAGGAGGCTAGGGTGAATGATCTCGGGTCCAGGCGAAGGACATCTGTATTTATTCCACATCCGAACGATAACTGCAAGGAGTGTCGTTAGGAAGAACCGGGGAGTGGACCCCTAGAGAGATACCTATGACAGGAGCAGGTCGCCACCGGACCTTCGCGGACTCAGCCGTTAGGATTAGAATTCATTTAGGGGCTCGGGTGCTTATTAGGGCTGGCTGGCTTAGCGTTGCTTCGGGCTTAGGAAGTCAAGGCTTGAAGCCGGCTCAAGACGAATACGACCTGCTTAACTGCGACCCTCGCAACCCCAATGTTGGTTCGACTCAACTGCACCAGCGGCCTAGAGCCATAGCACCGCCAAAATGCTAAAACCCAGACCTAGGTCTAAGCCCCTACAGTAGACTCGAAGCCTGCACCCCAAACAAAAGAACCCTAAACTCCGGTTGCTAAGCCAGCAAGAATGGGGTTACCCAAAGGGTCCATGTACCCAAATAGTACATATATACAGTTATATACATTATATACACATCATCTACGCTGGCCCCAATGTACCTATATAGGGACTACTTTAATGCGCTCGTATAGACTATATAGGAAAATGTACCCCTAGGGTTACGTGTGTGCAGACCCCTAATTATTCAGCCTCCTGTCATTCAAGGGGAGGTTGCTTAGGGGGGGCGTGGGGGTCGGCAGCAATCTAGGATACTCAGAAAACGGTTTTGGTGCAAATTTTACTGCAAATATCATGAGGAACACCAAAATTGTATAGGTAGTTATGTTGGCCTCTGTATTATACTTGTTTGGGTGAACGAGGATTCCCAGCCTTTTGGTGCCTGCTGTGCTGAAGCCTTCCAGCCCTTACCTGTCCTGACCATAGCCACGACAAAAAACACCAGCAAACTAGGATTTTGGGTTCTTGCTAAGGGGTTTAAGCTAAGCTACCATATCATACTAAGGAAACCATGTGATTTACTACAGATCCCAATTATGGCAACTTTTTCAGCATGGGCTTGAATTATGGTAATTTAATAGCTAAACCCCTTAACAAGAACCCAGGAGTTACAACCCAGCCGGAATGTCTAGAAGGCTCAAGCCTGATTGAACCCTTACTTATGGGTGGTTGTCAAAATGATGGTCCCTTTTTGGGTACCCTTATAGGGGACCTATAGGGGCTTATAGGGTTCCTTTAAAGGGATCTATAGGGTTTAAAGTCCCTTTTTGGGTACCTTAAATATTAGGTGCCGTATTATGATAGGGACCCGAAAAGGGGACCATAATTTTGAGAACCACCCTCATGAAACCAGGCAGCCAGAACCCTAGCAACACCCCAAACCCGGAACAGCCTACCCCACGAAAACCACCAAAGGCCGAAGACACTTTGTTTTAGCCTCCACTGACAGCCCATAAATACACCATAGCGAGTCACCACAAGACCCCAACCCTAAACCCCTAAACGCCTTCTTTGACCCCTAAACCCTACATGGAAGTTCATGGGTGGTTATAAGTGGGGTTATAAGTCCCCCCAATATGGGTTATAAGTATAGTTACCCTACTTACAACCCTACTTATAACTCCCCATGAACCTCCAAGTAAACCCCACACATGCATCCCCAGACCCGATATCTCCAAATTCACTGGGAGAGCCCGGCCGGAAGAGGTGAAGAAACTCAGAAGCCTTGCAAAGAAGAGCTCTCTTTCGGCTGTAAGGTTAGGGAGTTCGAGCTTGGGGTTTCGGGGCTCGGGTTTCCTTGGAGGGCCGGGGGACTTAGTAAGTAGGTAGTAAGTAGACTTAAAAGTATCCGAAAAGGGACCCTAATTGGGGCTATGGTACTTATAAGTCCCTAAAATAACCAGTTACTAAGTTCCCCGACCCTCCAAGTAGGGTTTGGGGTTTGGCTCCCTAGATTAAGACTTTTTGTTCAGATTGCGGTATGTGTGGGTGTAGTTTCTGCTTTGCTCATGCTGTTGGAGTCAGGTATGTTCGAGGCATCTTCAAGGGTGGATGGGATTTAGGGGTGCAGCATGTAAGGAGCTCTCTCCTTATAACCTTATAGTTATGTAAGCTATGATTAGTAGGTACTTGGACCCTTGGGTATATAACCGGGAGTTCCTAGGGGTCTTCACACTTGACAGTCGTCGACACAAAAACCATAGCCACCAAGAAAACACGCACCGAACCCCACTTTGGAAGCCCTTACTTGGAGGTTCATGGTTAGTTATAAGTGGGATTATATAAGTCCCCTGATATGGGTTATAAGCATTAGTTACCCTACTTATAGCCCTGATTGCCCTAAACCCTAATCCCTATACCCTAAACCCTATAGATCCGTTTGAAGGAACCCTGCTTATAACTACCCATGAACCTCCAAGTCCAGCCAGAAGAGTGAAGCCCTAAGCAGCAGCATGGGTCTAGGGTGGAAGGCTTCAAGTCCTCGCGCTGCCAGGGTATTATTTAGCCATATTCTTTTGGGGGTTCCTCATTATAAGTGTAGTATACAATGATGGGCCCCAAAACCCTATTCTAATTATTGGCCACTATATTATAGAGCCCTCTTCAGGTGGTAGGGCTTTGCAGGGCTCTGGGTTTAGGGTTGTTTAGTCTCAGGCCTCGAGGTCGTGAGTCGCCAGAAGTTCGTCGAAGTTGTTATAGCTATGGGGCTTTGGTTGTTTAGGGTTTAGGGTTTAGAGTTCAGGGTTTAGGGTTCAGGGTTTAGGGGAACAAGCAATCTTACACACCGTTAACGCTTCCATGTTGCCCTACAGGGCCCGGTGCCCATGTAGTACATACTTTAACCAAGCGCTTACATTATCAAGACCCCGTTCGGGCAAAAGTAGAAGTACATAGGTGCACGGAGTCTACAACGCAGATGGCAACCTCCCGACAGCCAACTACAGCATAAAATTCAAGAACTAATTACTTACATGAATAGGTATCCATAGATACATATTTATATATATATATATATATATATATACATGTATATATATATATATATATATGTATATATATATATATATACATTTATATTTACGTGCTTATATATATATATATATGTATGTATACGTCATCCCTTGAACAATCGGTAGAACCGTGGGAGAGCCAACATCGATTGCTGCGCTGCCTTATGGATCAAGGTTCCCGTCGAGGCTGTCAGCACCTCATGGGGGTTTAGGGTTTAGGGCTTTAGGGTCTAGGGTTTAGAGCTTAGGGTTTAGGGCTTTAGGGTTTAGGGTCTAGGGTTTAGGGCCTTAGGGCTTTAGGGGTTTAGGGTTTAGGGCGTTGGGGTTTTAGGGATTTAAAAGTTTGCGGCCCTAGGGTTCCGGGTGCCGGGCTATGAGATTAGAGAGGTTCAGGCTTTTTGGGGGTTAGGCCGCTTATTTACGGTTTAGGGTAAAGCCCTAAACCGCTGAAGTGGTGGGGTCTGCTCTAGCCTAAGCTTGCTCTGGGCCCGTCGACGCGCGTGAGGGCCACAAGAACTCTCAGGACACGGGTGGGGGCCAAAGCTTGAACCGTAGCCATCCTGCATGGTTTATAGGGTTTTGCGAGCGAGGCTTTATTGTTTAAGGCAGGGCGTCTTGGGATTAATTTTTTTTTCAGATACCGTGCGTGCTCTGCGTAGCTTTAAGCTCCTAACCATAAACAATCCCACGAAGCCCTTTGCACTATTAGAGAAGGTCGACACCTAAGTTTACAATTTACAAGTCGTTACAGACGTTTGCACACTGATATGCTTGCTTCTCGTTTAGCTAAACTAACTCCATTTTCTATTATACTTACTTCCCTAAACCCTACCTGTAGTCTCCATCGTAGCTCCTTTTTGGGGTTACCTTTTAGGATCCTTAATATATATTTGGTTAAACCAAAAAAGGAACTACAATGGATACCATAGGCAAACCCTTATTTACTTGACGCGCCCCGAAGTCCTAAACCCTAAACCTTGGAGACCCGAAGCTTACATTGTAGAAGCCCTCCGAAGAGCTCGCAAAACAAAACTGATCGTGGATGAAGAGTTTAGGGTTGTGTTGTTTAAGATTTACGGCTTAGGTGTTTTATGGTTTGAGGTTTTGTTCAAGGCTTAGGATTTTCGGGTTTGGGGTTATGGGTCAGGAATCCCGGGTCCTTAGCCCGGGCTTCTTCAGTGTCTTTCTAGTAGAGAGCTGAAGCCTTAGTTCCCAAAACTGTGAGCTTTCGCGTTGAGGGTAAGCAGGGTTTAGCCCTCAGCCCAAACACAAACTCGAACCAGAGAGGTTTCGAATTTGAGGTTTCGGGTTTACACCTTCTGGAAATAGGACCTACCTAAACCTTCAACCCTCGTCTCCTTCGGTAGACTGCTCTGGAGGTAACTCCAGGTTTGGGGCTCAGAGGGTCGTGGTTTTGGCTTCGAGCTGCCATGGAGCCTAAGGTCACCCTGAACAGAACCCTGAAAGGAACCCTTAGAACAGACCCTTACAGGAACGGAATGGCAACAAAGGAGCCCCTATCAGCGCCGGCAGAATCCAGCTGGAAAGCAGCGGTATACAGGAGTTCCTGGCAGCAGTGAACCCCCTAACGTGAAGCTATGTTAAGGAACTAAACTCGAGTTACCAGTATGAGGATTTATAGACTTTGATGTGCCGTCCTTGTAACGGTAATTTACAAGCGCCCTTAACAAGAACCCAGAAACCCTTCACCCAACAAGTTAACCGACAGGACACTGCCCAAAACTTCCTTGCCTTGGACTTCTGGTCTTGGTATTTGGAACGCCTTTGCCTGAATACCTCACCCTAAGGTTCCATGTGTCCATAGTGTATATACTTCGGTCTTAAAGTAGTCCCAGCATCTTCGGCTGCAGGCTTTTCTGTGAGCTTTGCAGGCTCTCAGGCTCTACACTTCGTCAATGAGTTTTTTAGTTGTTGGCACAACTACAGAGGCAGCATACATCGAACTCTGCTTTTCACCTGCCAAGTCTACCCTGAACCCGACCCTAAGCACCTGCCTGCTGAAGACTGTATATAAGGAAAGTGTGGAAAGCATCACTAAACAGACAAGCTTCTTGGGTCCAAGTAAATACCACAGAAATCCACACCAGCTTCTGTGCACGCTGTGCGTGGCGATGCGATGAGGGCTTGGCTTTTGGTTTCCTGGGAATCAAACCCACGAACAGGAAAACTTAGCATGCGGCTAGTCGTATATCTACATCATGATCGGAGAAGATGCACTTCAACGGTGGTACCATGACGATATGATACCAGCTTCGAACAGTAACAGCTCCGGCAGGAACACTTATCTTATGCTGGACCCCAAACCCCGAACTCCCAGAAGCCCTACACTCGAAATGGGAGTTTCCGAAAATAGGGGACCCTAATATAGTACCCTAAATATTAGGATCCTTATTATAACGACCCCAAAATAAGGTACCCCTAGTTTCGGAATCTCCCAAATTCCTAAACCCTGAGCCCCTGAACTGTTGACTCCTTGCCTACCCTAAGTGCCCATGTACCCAAATAGTATAGGCCCAATGTTCCTGTAATAAGGACTACTTTAGGGCCTAGGTATATACTAGATAGGTACATGGACCCTTAGAGATATTGCATATACATACATATATATATATATGTAACTATAATGTAGCCTTACATTGCGCGCCTAGGAGCATCAAACGAACTGTTGAAACAACACTCGAACTTCCCGAAGCGAGAACCTGTGGTCTGCTATGTGATCGACATCATGAATGCGCTCACTGCACCAGTTCACCTGGGATTGCATTTAGGGATCGCAGAAGTTACATTTAGGGTCTAACCCTGTAGCTTGTTCCAGCGCCTTTTTACAATTATTATAGAGCTTAATTCGCTGGCGTGTCAATTTGTTTTCGAGGGAAGGGGGGTTGGGAAGTTTAGGAACTTTTTCCCACCCGCCCAGCTGACAATGTCGCACCGCAGGGAGCTCGTCCGAAAGTCGACTTACACTACGGCGTCTGTTTTTAAATACACGGATATTTAAATAGGTTAAACAGGTATATTACACTACCTCCGTGAAACATCGCCCGGGCATGCCTCGAAATAAAATATCCGGAGATTGGCAGATGATTGGTAGGTTTGGGGTTTAGGATTTGGGGTTTAGGCTTCCACCAGCCCCAAGCCCCAGTCCTCCAGCTTTGCCTCCAGCCCCCATCCAGCCCTCCAGCCTTCAAACCTTCCAGTTTTCAAGCCCTCCAGCCTTCCAGTTTTCGAAACAGCCCTCCAGCCTTCCAGCCTTTCCCAGCCCTCCAGCCTTCCAGCCTTCCAGCCCTCCAGCCTTCCAGCCTTCCAACCTTCCAGCCTCCAGCCCAGCCCTCCAGCAGCCTTCCAGCCTCCAGCCTTCCAACCTTCCAGCCAGCCCTCCAGCCTTCCAGCCTTCCAGCCAGCTCCAGGTTGGAGGAAGGCTGAAAGGCTGGAAGGCTGGGGGCTGGGCTGGGGCTGGAGGGCTGGAAGGCTGGAAGGCTGGAAGGCTGGAGGGCTGGGCTGGAAGGCTGGAGGGCTGGAAGGAAGGCTGGAAGGCTGGAAGGATGGAGGGCTGGAGGGCTAGGCTGGAGGCTGGAAGGCTGGAGGGCTGGGCTGGGGCTGGAGGAAGGCTGGAAGGCTGGAGGAAAGGTTGGAAGGCAGGCTGGAGGGCGGGCTGGAGCACTCCAGCCTTCAACCCCTCCAGCCCTTGCAGTCTCCAGCCTTCCAGCCTTCAACCCCTCAAGCCCTAAACCCCTTCCAGCCTTCAGCCGCCAGCATTCCAGCCTTCCCCTTTTTAAGACTGAAGGCTAGATCACGTCATACTGGGATTTAGATATACGGATTTAAACAATTATTTTATACTACCTCTGCGGCCAGTGCGGCTGGCCGGGCCCCCATATAATATATTTAAAAAACGTCACCGTGCATGTCCGCAAGTGTTTAGGAATAAAGGTTGCTGAGTTGTGGCCGTTGCCCTCAGTCCCAGGGTTTGGCCCACGGCTTGAGGTATGGGCCTGAACCTGAAAACCCTAAGCGCTGCCTGAACCCTAGGGTACAGGACTCTTAAGGTTTTATGCTCTCGCACTCGGACAAGCCGAGTTCAGGGTTTAGGGTTTTGCAAAATTTTCAAAGGCATTAAGCCCCTACAGGAACAAAATCTCCCATATTAGATCGCAGAACGACCAAACCCCGAATGGGCCCCTCAAACAAGGCACCCCTGCAAATCGAGATGCGTCCCGGCTTGAGCTACTATGGAGTCTTCATGATTAGAAAGCGTTCCAATTAGGGTTCGGAAGCAGTTCATACAGATGTTGTAGTGTGTGGGTCTTAACGGCTGGATAGATGCTTTTTGTTTTTTGGCCGGGTGGGATTATTCTAGCGATGCACCAACGGACTGTAGTGGCATACTATTGTTATCTATTCAGACCTCTACACGAAGTTGGGTTGGGTTTATGCTTGTCGTTGTTGAACGGGTCTCCGGAGAACAAACAAGGCTCTCTAACGGGGCCATACCTATGTGTGTCAAGTTAGGCTTCCAGTGCTGCTTGAAAAAACGTGCAAGGGGCTCCTTGAGCAAACCGGTGAGTGTATAGATTGGCGTGTAATTTGAGGAGGGGGGAGGTGCTAGCAGTGCCCATCCTACTTCACAGCACCTTTACTCAGTTGCTGAGTTCATAAGCCCAACAAACTGTACACTCTTGGTTTATAGTGGGTAATGTTATCCCAAAAAGTGTCAAGTGTATCCACTCAACTACTAAGTTTACACACCCCTCAAGGTCCGAAGTTGGACTTGCAATGCCTTGTGAGGGTCTCATGGGGCTCTTGATGGTTCTTCAGGGGCCAAACAACCGCGCAAGTAATTAGCTATCCGAGTCGGGATATGCATTTAATTCTAGTAGTGTTCGTCAGCAATCGGTATATACCTATGGAGGGGTGAACTGCTGACTCATCTCTCGTGGTACTGTTCTATCTGCCTAACTAGGCCAAGCCCGAATCTGTCAAACAAACTCTCTCAAGCAGTAGGTCCTACAAGCCAGGCGCGCAAAGACAGCTCAAAAATCCGCAACTGAAAGGCTGTGTGAAACCTGAAAGCTAGCCGACCCGGAACTCGAACCCTGAATATGCCCAAAGACTCCAGTATCCCTTAATGAAGGAATATACCTTAAGTTATAGTAGGATCCCTAATATGATTGAAGGAATATTCCTTAATTAAGGGCTATTGGAGTCTCTGGGTAGAGGCGCGAATAATTAGCCTAATTGGAATAGGGTTTTGGGTGTATATCATACTAAAGTTATAATGAGGAACCCCAAAATAGTGTAGCACCAAGTGGCAGTTTCAAACTGTGGCCTTGGCTGGCTTCGGACTGGGATCTTGCATACATGTATGTACATTGTAGATATGTACTGCGCGTGCGAAAACGAACAGATGCATGTTGTAGGTGTATGTACGTATATATGTATATATATATATATATATACATGTACAGGTATCTATGAATAGAGAAGTATACTAGGCACACAAGTACACACATCTGCGTGTGCATGTGTGTTGGCTACAGGTTGGTTGGGTGGATTCACCCTACGCGACTGCTCTATAGGCTATTTCAGGTGTTCCTTTGACCTGCAACTACATACACTTCTGGTCCCCGAGGTGAAAGTCAGTCTCATTAGCAAGTAGCAAGCGTGGCCCCCCAAAAGTGTTCATTACCTGTATGTGTATATATATATATATGTACATATGTATATATATTCCATATTGAGTGTATATGCTTGCAACAATATGAGCATAAGCCTTTTCTGATCAGTGAACCCCTTATACATGGAATCCTTAGAGTTATCCGTAAAAGCACCATTCAAGGGACTCTTCAAAGTAACTCTATCCTGATTTCTCAGGCCCGAAGATGATCGAGCCTCCAGCATAAACCTTAAACCCTCCAAGCCCTAATCCCTTTAACCCGAAACCGGCCCTACTCTACACCCTAAACATCCCTAAACCCTAAAAGCCCTAATCACATTAAGCTCAACCATAAGCCCCTAAGCCCTAGCCTCAAAAACCTTCACGACTCCCCGACCGATCCCGGGACCGCCGGCAAAGCCCTAGACTCAATGAGTAGAGCAGGATTCCTTGAAGCTTCTTTTAACGGTTACAGGGTTTAGGGTTTGGGGTTTAGGGTTACTGGGTTACTAGGGTTTAGGGTTACTGGGTTATTATCCGGGATCTGGAAGGGTTGCCTCCGTAAAGGAATGCTTGTATAGGTCAAGGGGCATTAAAACAAGGGTTACTCGTTCGTGGCACTATACGGGTTTCTATACGGGCTAGTTTAAGGGTTGCAAATGCATCTTCGAGTCACCGTCCTATGCAGTTGTTCGATTAGTACAAAGAGCACTCAAAACTTGCCCAAGCCGTATAACAACACCGATGTAAACAAAGCGTCCAACATACCAGGACTCGAGGATACTCCTGAAAATTGCCACGGCCTTCAACACAAAACCCAGGATCCTGCTCCAAAATCTGAACTTGACATTGTTACTCCCAGGCCCAGCATACGCCCTAAGCCGTTGCCCTAATTGCACCCATGACCTCGACGTACCTCTATGGTGCCCCGTTTAAAGCGCAAGTATACACCACATAGGCACATGCACCCGAAGCATTACGTACTGCAGCAGAGAAGCCACAGTATCTTGTGCGCTGGCTCAGCAGCAGAGATCGCCTGCGTTCAGATTCAAGCAGGTGGGTCTCTTGAAATGCTTTCGGTTTCGGGCCGTGGGATCCTCTGTGGGATCCTACTTGGGCTTAGGGTTTATCCTATATGGTATGGGGCTTTGGTTCTGGAGTTTGGGGTGAACCCAGTCAGGGACCGCACTGTCCTGGGATCGCTCGGGCGTCAAAACCATGAGGGGCATGAGGAGGCTGTGCTCCGGACCTTTCCCTCACCCTCCAAACCAGGAGCCCTGAATCTGAACCCTACACCGAATATACCCTTCATGAAAGCCCTTGAAATCCTAACCGTTGTTGTTGCTGACGCTGTTGTCGTGGTTGTCGTCGTCGACGTCGTGATTGGTGCTCCTGCTGTCGTTGTCGTCGTGGTGGTTGTTGTTGGTGGTCTTGTTGTAGAGTGCCATATTTGGGCCATGGTTTCGAAGACGATGATTTAGCAGGGCCTTCAATCTTCTCGCTGGGCTCGAACATAGTATGACGACGTGTCGAGCTTAAGGGATCCAATTGAAGGATGCTGTCGAAAACCGGTGCTCAATTCTAAAGTTGCTGCCGGATCCTTCCTGGACTGCTTCCTGCACAGCATCATGCGGCTAGTCTGCGTCTGTCTAGTCTTGCCATGTCCCTGTGTCGGAACCGTCTTATCCCTATCAGAGCCAGGACATACCCTATGGCTCCAGTTACCTAAATAAAAGGTTATACTACCCACATATCATACACCCCACTAACCTACTATTTAAGTAACCGGAGCCCTATAGGGATACCATGTGATGTTGCGCAGCTGCCTTGTCTCAGGTAAAAGACTCCAAGGCTGCAAAAACGCCCTGAACGTGCCAGGCCAAACAGGTCCTCCGACACCCCAACTCCGATAGTCCTCAAAACCTTGGATCATAGTCAAAGCAAGAGTGATATTAACATAAAGAACACAAGCAATCATGTTAAGGATGCCTTACAGTAGCTTTGGGCCCCTTATCGAAGCTGGGACGCTGCTCTAATGCGGCCCACAATGCGAAGCAAGAAAGCTCGATCGAAGTCTTCCATTCTGGGATGCCTAAACCAGCGAAATCCTGTTTTTCAGGAGACTTCTTTATATGGGAGTTTCCGAAAAGAGGGGGCCCTAATACAGTACCTGAAATAGTAGGATCCTTGTTATAAGGACCCCCAAAGAAAGTACCCCTAATTTTCGGAAACTCCTGTAAACATCCTTAAACTGTAGGCTTCCCGGGGTTGAGGTAAACCCTACATGCCTCTGCTTGGCTCGGTGTCGACAGCTCCGCCAACTTCTGTCCTAGTCTCTGGCATTTCGGGGTATACATACTTTCCTTCTGTTAGCTTTTTGGGATTCCGGGCGCTGAGGATGCTTGGCATCCAGGATTCTGATATTCGGGCATGCTGCGCTGTGACAGAATGCTCAGCATTATACTCAGCATGCTCTAGGCGCTGGGGCGCCACACAAAATCTGGTTGTCAGCCCTCAACTCTCGTTGTACATCTGGCTTTACAGAGCTTGCACGCTTTCTGCTATCACACCCCATATAAGCAGTTGAAATTTACAGGACATGTGCTGAGACAGTGCAAACTTGCTGTCGTTACTCGTTGCTCAATAGGATACAAGAAGGGGTACATCATCAAGAAAAGCCCGAGGGATAGTTCGAAGATTTCCAATTTGGTGTGGGTACAGCTGCTGCTCGCGAGAGGCGGAGAGATGTCTTAAACCAGGGTAAGATGCTACGAAACCCCGAACCGCATTGACCCCAAACCTGAACCCTACACCCTTTCTTGCATCAGGACTTGTCCATTCGCCTGGGCCTCGACTTCCAAAGTGCTGTAGTAACCCTATCCCTCCAAGGACCTCACAGCTCGGGCCCTAGACCCCTTAAGGACCCCATAATAAGGTCCCTGGAGGCATAGGGTAAGTACAAGAACCGCAAGCCCTATATCCCCGCCCAAGAACTGGCCGACCTCAGGTCCATCGTGCTGCACTTTAAAGGGATCTATAGGGTTCCTTTAAAGGGATCTATAGGGTACCCTATAATGGGCTACAAAATGGGTATATAATAGCTATATCCTACTTCCTGCCCAGCTCCGATATACACAAACCTCCGATACCAACCCTACTTGATACAAAATGCGTACCACTTACCCCAAACATGGTAACGTAAAACCCCAACACTGACAACCCCCAATCCCAGTTCCTGCAATCCTACTTCCTTTTAGGGTAACTGTAAGAGTACCATAAAGATCCCTGAAGGGTTTGGCAGCACCTGTGCACTGTGCATGTCCACACCCCACTCAGTCGGCTGATTGCCCAATTCACTCGGGATGGGCCCAAAAGAAGAAAGAAACCAGTGATACCCACCTACGCACTGTACACATTCCTCGGACCTCCAAATTACGAAGCTGCTTCAACGTTCGCCAATCACCATCCATCTCTTGAACCCCGGTACCTAGAAGCCACACCAATCAACTCAACCAATGTCATTGCGCTACGGGAGGAGGAAAGGGGCCATCCTGATAGCTGTACCCCAGAACCACATACGCATCTGCCAGGAGCTTGTCCAACGGTGGAAGTTCAAACAGGACTCGAGAACACAATCGAACATGTCTGACATGAGGAGCTACGATGTCATTCAGCGCAGCTGCCTCACCCAGGCGGTGACGTCGTCCCGGAACCACGGCCACGGCGACTGCGCCACCACCGCACGCCACAGTCACGACACTTGTGTCTTCTAGCCGGCCCTTTGGGTCCGCCAACTCCAACTGGGGGCTGTACGGCGTTGTGGCAGCTACCCTTTTCCCACTGAATGTGGGCCACTTGTCGCCACACTCCCGAGGAGTCGGAGCTGGCTTTTTCGACAGCCCTGAGCCATTCTTCCATGGCCTGAGCACAAGCGCAGAACAGCGGGCGAAGTCCCAAACCTTGCAAGCAAAATTGCTCATCCTACTGCCCCAGTATGCTTGGTAAACTAAAGCTAAACCTTTGGGGATTGCACAGGGGTTGCTATATCCCGAAAGGACCAAAGGTTACCTACGCTACTACGAAGCCTTTATTTTCTTGGAACAGCCGCCTGCTCCCAGCCCAAGGTGACAAATCTTATGGCCTTTGGGTTACAGGGCTTAGGGTTGAACTGGGGTTTAGAATGTCAGTCAGGTCTTTAGGGTTTGCTGGCCCCCCATAGCCCCATCCAATCTACAGCTGTGCGGCGCAGCGCTTCTTCACGAAGTCTGGCATATGCCTTTCGCCCCTGGCAAAATCCGAAAGGTGTAAGGCATACGGAGTTCTAGCAGACCGAGTTATCAATGCACTGATGGTCGCAGTACACCGTGCTTCAAGCTATGAATAGCAAACCGGAGGAGGAGGAGGAGGAGGAGGAGGAGGACAGGGAGGAGGAGGAGGAGGAGGAGGAGGAGGAGGAGGATGAACAATTCGTTGATGACAGCTGCTCTGTGAAATGCATACAGCAGTTGCGGTGTGCACATCATGTACGCCCAAGATGACGAAAATGGAGCCGGGTCTTCGGTGGCGGCTCGAGATGCTCCAGGTCGCAAACTCAGTCTAAAAGAGGTTAGATTGGGGCTCTGGTTTTTACTACACTATAGGCTAGAGTACAAGAGTAGTATACAGTGAGTTACGAGGCGATACCATTACTTCTCAATACTTCCGACCCCTATACGAGACCGCGTGGCCTTGCAGACGCAGGCGGCCGGGCTCTTGTCGCCCTGCGAGGCATCCACGTTTCGGGACTTGCTTTGAACTTAGAAACACAGGCGCCCCTAAACCCTAAACCCCAAAGAGTGGCTTTAGGCTCCAGAATTTGCGAGCGTGCAGCAGCCCATAAGCCGGTAAAGAAGAACACAATTCTAAAGACCCAAACCTGCAAGCCTCGAACCGAAATGGCTTGGGGGTTTTGGGTTTAGGGTGCCCAATCCCAAAGGCCTCAGTCCCAATCCGATTTAACCCCTATACTATACACCCCTTTCCGTAGGACCTAATCTCCTGAAACCCTGAACTCTAAACCGCTGTTTCTTACCACCTATAACTTCCCTAAGCCCTAAACCCTCAAACTTCCCTAAACCCAAAACATCCCAAAACCATTTTCTGCCGTAGCTTCGGACCTCGCTGTCGACAAACCGAACTTCCGCTACCATGGCCTCCTTCAGCTGCCGGAGGCTTCATGGAGCTTATCTACCTATGGGCTCCATTGTAGTTCCCTTTTTTGGTTTGACCAGTTCTATATATATATATATATATGTATATATATATATATATATTCAGGATCCTAAAAGGTAACCCCAAAAAGGAACTACAATGGAGACTACAGGTATGGCATAACGAAGTTTTTTTTTTGGGGGGGGGGGGGGGTTTACGATCGATGGTAACTATGGGGTTCAAGGTCTATGGTATAGGGTTTAGGGGCTATATTACAGGGTTTAGGGTTTTAGGAGTTCAATGTCGCTGGGAAGGCGTTTAATGGGACGCAATATCGGAGCCGCAACGATTCAAATCGGGTTTTTTGGGGTATGTTAGAGTAGATATACAAAGAATAAGGAACCCAGCAATTACTCAGGCTGCTAATTTTATTGCAAGGGTTCTATGGTTTTTGACGGCTTTTCTAAAGGTGCGATTCGCCAGCACATTTCCCTCAACCGACACGAGCGTCTTGCCAGCTCTAGAAGCATATCGTCCGAAAAACACTGCCGCAGCCATCCTACACCTTGTGCCCGAAAACTGTCATAGTAAAACCCTTAAACTACAAGCCCGACGTTAAACATCGTTAAACTCTTTCACCCCGCTGCCCTGAGCCGGAAAACCCTAAGCCAAATAGCCACAACAAAAATGCCCCATACCCCCAACCGAAAGCGGTTGCAGTCTAACCCGAGGTTTGGTTGGCATCCCAGGGTTTCCGGGTTTAGGAGCTCGTGCTTTCAGAGCCTATGTTTAGGGAATGATTTAGGTTTAGGGCTCGGGTTTGAGGGCTTACGATTACGGGTTGGGGTGTAGGAACTAGGGCACTGGGTTTTCGGAACTCAGCATCGCAGGCCGGGAGTCGGCATGAAGGTGCCAGGTCTTCAGAGCTTAGGCTTGGATTAGGGGTTTAGAGAGACTCAAGATTCAAGAGAGTAGCAGGTTTAGCGATGGGGTTCAAGGTAATAGCCTCTCTGGAGCCTATGCCTATGAACAACAGGAGCCCTCCAACAAACCTAGGGGCCTCAGACCCTAAACCCTAAACTCCACAGCACTGAAAACCTACAAGAAAGCTAAAGCCAACGAGTCTAAACCATGCAGCCTTAAACACCTGATCCGAAATCGAATTAGAACCTGAGGTCTTGCCCACGCGGCCCCTAGTTTGCAATGACAACCTTACAGAGACAAACATCCAAGATAGAACAGCTATTGCGGTACATATACACACGACAAGTGATCCTCATATCCATGCGCAAATAGCAGACATACTCATAAGCAATATGTTCTGCAACACTATGAATCGTCACGGTTATCATTGTTACTATGGTTATTATGAATATGATTGCTAATACTACTATCAGAAAAAGGCTACTATGATTATAGTCTGTACTCTTTGTTTATTATTATCATAGTTATCGTATTATTGCTATTAGTTTTACTATTTTTAACACCGAAAACTCGGGTTGTTAAGCCCAGGTGCAGGCCGGCCCTCGATCGACGCCGATTCGGCGAGATGCGAGCCGCTGGGCTGCGGGTAACCCGAGCCCGAAATCCCTAAGGGTCCATGTACCTAAACAGTTTAGGGTTTAGGGTTGTGCTCAAACAAAGGATCCTTTAAGGGATCCTTTAAGGGTTCTATGGGGTCTAAGGTCATTATGAGGGTCCATGTACCTGAAAAGTATACAAGTAGTCCCTCCATAGGGTGCTTTGGGGCCAAAGTATATACTACTTGGGTACATGTGCCCTTATTGGGGTCAAACCTCGAGCCGGCTTGGTGTTCGATAGGATTACAAGGCCCCCGACCAACCCAAAACCCTACGCCGTATAAAACCCTGAAACCCCAAACCCTCAAACGCTGCACCTTCTGAAACCGGACTTGATGACAAAACCCTAGGCCCTTTTCGGCACGGGCTTTGGGTGTGTGCCGGTAAGCAGGAATTCTCGCCGTACCTATGGTCTCCATTGTAGTTCCTTGTTTTGGTTTAACCAATTATTAAGGATCCTGAAAGGTAACCCCAAAAAGGAACTACAATGGAGACTACAGGTAAACCCTAAACCCTGAAACCGCGGAAGGCTCAAGGGCTGCTACGGGCCCCACAGGTACGGGTCTGCGGAGCAGGTTCTTGGTGTCAAAGAGGGTTTCGAGTTTCGTTGGTGTTTACCCAGAGGCTCCATAGTAGTTCCTTTTTGGGGTTCATATATAGAATCCTATAAGGTAATCCCAAAAAGGAACTACTATGGAGCCTATTTGTAAGCCCCCTTTTTCCGCTGCGTGCTCCTCAGGTTTCGGGCGTAGGGTTCCGGGGTTGATTTAGGTTCTATATAGGCTTTGCAGTTCTGCTTTTGATACATGGGCCATTGATAGGACTAGAATTTCAGGCTATACTTTACTATAACGCACCATTCCAAGGGGCCCTACGGATAAGTGGTTCCCAACATTGAGGCTTCCGTACAAATAATTGCTTAACCACTTAAGCCCTTTGTGGAATGCTATGTTCCCAAGAAGGGAGTCCAGCTTCGGATGTTATGTTGAGAGGACGGTTATGATTCAATTATGACCATCAGCTGCTGTGGCCGTTCACTGAAGATAGCTGTTGGCGGGGGTTGATGAGGAATTACCGTGGTGACGGTCATGCTGACGAGGGTGATGGGGCTGATGGAGGCAGCGGCCACTGTACGGGAAATGGTTGTGCAAGAGACCGAAGGACGAGGAGTCACATTATTTTTTGATCAGCGCCGGCAACAGAAAGATCCCGTGGGCCACGGCGAAGGTCCTGCCAAATGCTCAGAGGTCTCTACTTGCGGTGTTCGACACTTGATCTCCTAGACTGCCTTTTTTTGCAGCAGGCCTCGTTGTCCAGCAGCCCGGTTACAGCAACAGCTCCCTTTCCCCCTGCCCTGAACCCCAGACCAGCACCCAAAAGCAACTATCCCGAAAGCCTGAAGTGTCCAGGGTACTGTCGGGCTCAGTGTCTTGCACTCCTCTTTGCTCTGAAAAACACCCCCAGCCGAACTCCTAATGTAGGGGCCTAAATAATTAGAACAGGCTCCTTGATATAACTATAAAGTTATAAATAGTACAATGGGCCCCAAAAGTCTATTCTAAATATTAAGGCCGCTATTGTACAGCCGCAACTGTTCGAGCACAGCTAGAGGCACCTGCGCACTCAGCTGAGGGTTCGTGTCAAAAAGGTATATCACCAGTAGTCCCAAGGAGCCCGATGGACACTCACGTATCCCTTTGCCCAAAGAAATCCCCCCCGAGTTCATCAACTTCAAGTTCCTAAGCCTCCACCCCTCCCAAAAACAGAAACTACCTACAGTCTCCATTGTAGTTCCTTTTTTGGTTTAACCAATTATATATATATATATATATATATAAAGGATCCTATAAGATAACCCACAAAAGGAACTAGAATGGAGACTGCAGGTAGTATATAACAGTACCCGCATCTTTGGCCTGAGGGGGCAATGGTGGCGGCTTGCCTTGGAATCTTCGGCCAGGGCATAAGGCGCATGGCTCAGATCTTTGTTCAGTCAGGATTTGAGGTTCTGGGGTAGTTGACAGGTTTCGCTTTGCTAACCATGGATCTCTATCCCAGAGACTCCAATGTCCTTTAATTAAGGAATACACATATTCGGGATCCTACTATAATTTAAGGTATATTCCTTAATTAAGGGATATTGGAGTTTCTGGGCTATTTAACCTATCAATGGGTGTTTTTTTCTATACATGTGAATATGATAGCGTGTATCGAGCAAGCACCGGACTGTCACGATCAGTGGGCATCAGAACTCCGAAACCTTAGGATTTGGGGCCTGAGCCCCCGCAGGGTTGAGGGTTCAGGGTCGATGGCAGAATCTCCAAACTTCAACGCCTGAGTTCCAAAGCTACCTTGAACTCGACGCGAGCCTTGAAGGCCCCTTTTTAGCAGGGATCGCAATGCTGTCAGCCCTGAACCCCTTCAGCCTTAAGCCCTGAAACCATGAGCTCAATCGAAAACCCTCGGCCCAAAGAATCTGAAAATAGGGCCCGAATATAGTACCCTAAATAGTAGGATCCTTATTATAAGGACCCCCAAAATAAGGTACCCCTAATTCCCTGTTAAAGCCCTCCCAGAGCACTGAGCCCACCAAGACACCGAAGCAGAGAGCGCGCTTGCCTTTGCACTTCGACCGCCCGAAAGCCTACCTTTTGGGGGGGTCTTCATCTACGAAATGTTAACCTTCAGAACCATAAGAAGAGTAACCCTATGCCTCCAGGAACCTTATTATGGGGTCCTTAAGGGGTCTAGGGCCCTAACTATGAGGTCCTTGGAGGGATAGAGTAATGACAACAAGGAGTCCCGGCTTTTTGGGGGTTCAAAATCTTACAGCCTTGGGCTTGTTGGGTTTGGTTTGGGGTCACTGATCTTTGCATCCACGTCCTCCTGGCTGTGTCACGTCTGCATACCCGGTTACTTTTCTGTAGGCTTAAAACCTCTGGTGAGACTCGAACCGACCGTCCCCATCTCTGTACGCTGATGCCTCATCTTTCGCCCACCCGAAATCACTAAACCCAAACATCCGCACGCCCCTTTGTCGGGAGGGCCTCTACTTCAGGGCACATGTGCCTGCAAAAGAATGCTATGAGGTGCTTTTAAAGCCTTTGAAAAATATTAGTAGGTAAGATCCTCTTAAGCCCAATGAGGGAAAATATAAAATGTCCCAAAGCCCTACCTAGAATGCCAACCATGCCTCTGGCTTCAGTGCTTTTGGATTTGTGCCTAGCTAGGCAGCCCCACGCCATCCTTCTCGATTGCGTGGGTTGGAGGATGTTTGCATAAGTTTATGTGGGCTTAAACTCTGACTTGGAGTCACTCTGTTCTTCTACTGCAAGCTCAGAAGCAGCACAATCTCAAGGTGTCCCGGAAACATGCAAAAGTTTCCGCTTCTCCTACTTGGCGCATGGCCTTGTGTTTACACTGTATAATGTTGAGGCATTGGGGCTACGGCCTGTAGGATGTAACTGACTGCATTGTGTTGCTCTGAAGGTTGGTGCATTAAGCACGAATGCACTATGCCGACACGATGGAAGCCAAGCAGGAGTATCAGTGTGAAGTATTCGGGCGTGCACGAGGCACAAGCCGAGTTCCAAAGAAAGACACCTGACAACCACTGGGTTTTTGTTAAAGGATTTGTTACCAAAAATAAAGATACCATATTACTTACTACAAAACCCTATAAAGGTAACTACTCCATTTAATTCCTGAGCAATTCCTGAGCAAGAACACAGAACATGTCCAATGTCATCCGGCTACAGAGCTGGCCGTAGCTCTTGGGCGGCTGGTCCTTGGCTTGTGTTCAGTGGAGAAAACTAGGTGGCTGCTGCTCTTCTTCTAGTGCTACTGCAAGTGCAAGTGCTAGTGATAGTACTGGCGCTAGTACTGGTACTAGTACTAGTACTACTACTGCTACCACTACTACTCTTACTGCGACCTCCACCTTTGCGGTCTCCACCTCTGCCACTGCCACTGCCGCTGCCACCGCGACCACGATCACATGCACTACTACTGCTACTGCCGCTGCCACTACCTCCGCTCCACTGGGGGCTCAACCCCTCCGTCCCTGCTACTTCCAGGTACCAATGTCTCTAGCCTGACACTTCCGTTCATGTACAATGCATCGCACGTGACGTTCTTGCCATGCAGTTCTTCTTCTCAGCAGGAACCACATCGAGAGCATGTTGAATGAAGACTCAACTTGCCAGCTGGATCCTATGCCCAAACTTCCGAACCCCTCCCCTTCCTGCAGCTCGAGGCGAGTACAAGCACGACCCTGGAACAATCGGAAACCCTAATGTTAAGGTCCGGTCCAACCAACGTACTGTACCAGACTAAAGGGACCCTTAGAGCAGCCCTTGAAGGAACCTTTTAAAGCTACAAGCCCAGGGATTTGAGTTAATCTCAAAGGAACCCTGGAACCCGGTCACATCTGAAGTCTAGCTGCGCCGGGTTCGCAAAGATCCTGGCGAGGTGGACTGAATCTCTGGGATTCGGGCCTTAGGGGTTAGGGTTTAGGGCCTTATGGTTTAGGTTTAGAGTTTAAGGGTTTAGGGTTTAGGGTCTAGCTCTGAAACGGCTTGGGCGTTAGGGAACCGAAGCCTTACCTTACTTTCAAGGCTTGCCGGATATCCTCACACTTGACCGGTGAAGAGAAGGTCGCCACCCCCGCTAGCAAACCAACCTGTGCCATAGCTTGGGTACGGCGCCCACTCAGTAATAGTTGACGAAGATTCATAATATAGATATATTAGGACCTCAATAGTAGCCCTATCATAGACTCTTACTGTAAGGGGGCAGTACCTAAGCCATAGCCCTTATCAGAGGCAGGGCTGCTCACGAAACCGAGTATGACCCATCCAAGACATCATGTTGTACAAAAGCTATCGCCTGCCGCAGCCCTGTGCAAAACATCTGCAACCTGGTCCACAGGGCCCTTAACCGAACGCAGAGGGCCAACAGGATCGAGAGTCAAGAGACAAATATAACGGGAAGAACAGCAACAGCTCTGCAGACAGAACGAGGATGATGATGCAATGGGCGATGTCCACGACGACAAACGCGACAGAAGCAGCAACAATAGCAACAATCACAACAACAACAATACAGCAACAATGCTGCACCGAACACAACCACCGTGGCCACCACCAACACAGTCACAACCAACACAACAGCGACAGAACCAAGTAACATAAGTAACAAACACGAGTCAGTCGGCATCTAGACACACCATTGCAGACGGACCAACCGCACGAAAGCCACAGGCTACAACCGCAACTCGCATCACTCCGACCATAAGCAATAGATAAAGCCAGGCATGGAAGCCTCCAACCCCATAACTCCCAAAAGCCCTTCATATAGGGGCCATAGTGATTAACATAAAGTTTTGGGGCCCATTCTACTAGAATGGCATTGGTATTTATTTAGGCCCCTATATTAACCTCACGCAGAACTTGTGCCTACTTGTCTGGTATCATGGGGAACTACAGGTTAACCTTTTTGGTTATATAGGGATTATATAGGGACGATACTACCCAAAAAAAGGTTAAAGGTTGCCTACTCTACTCTAGGTTTGGCTCTGAGTGTCACATCGGCATTCGAACTCGAAGCCCTCTCGAAGGCGACGGCGTCGCTCCTGACCCATCGCCAGTCGCAGTTCCGGAGTTGGGGATTTGGGGTTTATAGAGTTTAGGGCTTATAAGTGGGTGTATTAAGGTCTTTGTACGGTTAAGGGTTTATGGAGTTAGGGCTTATCAGGGTTCAGTACGTACCGTCATCCCTTCCATAAGATGATGTCAATCCCAGGAGTGCTAAGTCTGGAGAAACCACGATTTCCAGAAATAGGAGATAAATAGGACATAAATAGACTCAAGGGCTTGTAGGAAATAGGAAAGAAATAGGAAACAACTAGGAAAGGAAACTCAATAGGAGAAAAACAGGAGAAACATAGGAAATAAAAGGAGAAACATAGAAATAACATAGGACAAAAATAGGAATGCAATGATAAAAAATAGCAGAAAACTATGAATAGCATAGGAGAAACAGTTTAGGAACACCTAGGACAATAGGAAAGAAACACAGGGCCGGGGGAGTGCGATTTTGTTGTTGTTTTTGTGTGTTTCTCATGTTTATCCTGTTTTTCTCCTATTTTCTGTTTTCTCCTATTTCAGACAAACCAGGATTCCCATTGTCTTCCGACTAGAGTTACCACAAGAGATTGCCATATCCATAAGATTTGGTGTTGTTGGGGGCTTCGGGCCTGGGATGTTGTCACAGGTCACCAACTGCAAGAGCCGGTTGAAGCATCAGATCGAGCAGGAAGATGCTATCATACAACCTGACCGAAACCATGACGGTGCAGCCAGGAAAATATGGGTGGTTGTCAAAATTAAGGTCCATTTTTGGTACCCTAAACATTAGGTGCCGTACTATATTAGGGACCCAAAAAGGGGCCATAATTTTGACAACCACCCATATGCATCATATTGCATCAAACAGCCCTCTCGGGGCAGCCAGCTCGATGGCGGACGTTGCCAACTGCCCCCGGGTGCGCAGGCTGACCATGACTAGCTGGCAAGGCTGCTTTGGGGCACCCGGGACCTGTACCCCACCGATTGACTGAGAGCACCTGCCCTCGCCTCAACTGAATCAAAGTCAAGAGAATGTCGCCACACAAGTCAACTCAAATGCTGGAAATAATCGGGAAAACAGCAGTGGACAGCCGCATCGTTGCTGTTGTGGTTGTTGACGTTGTTGCTGTTGCTGTCCCGGTCGCTGTTGCTGCTGTTGCTGCTGCTGCTGCTTCTGTTGCTGCTGTTGTTCTTGTTGTTGTTGCAGTTGCTGTTACTGTTGGTGCTGCTGCTGCTGCTGCTGTTGTTGATGTTGTCGTTGTTGTTGCTGTTGTTATTGTTGTTGTTGCTGTGGTTGTTGCGGTTGTCGGTTGCTGATGTTGTTGTTGTTGTTGTTGGGGTTGTTCTCGTTATTGTACTTTTTGCTGTTGCTGTTGTTGCTGTTGTTGTTGCAGCTGCTGTAGCTCATGCAGTTGCTTATGCTGATGCTGTCGCTGCTGTTGTTGTTGGCCTTGCTGCTGCTGGTGTTGCTGCGTTGCTGTTGATGTTGCTGCAGGGGGTGGTGGTGGCAGTAGTGGTGGTGTTTGTCGTGCTCCTGTCATGCAACTCACCAAGATACATCTCCGGGAGACAACCAAGGTATCATGCAGAATCCGGCACGCCAAACTCGCTGATCACGATGCACAAACAAAATCGCTCAACAAATCCATGCACCACGAATTTTGACGGGTTCAAGCAGGCCCCTCATGTATTTCATGCCAGCAAAGGCGTCACACCAAGTGGCAGCCTGTGTAGGAGCGGCCAAATCGCTGTCGCCATGAGTAGTCGCCCACATAGGTCTATCGTATGCATTCAGCAGGGACACCTTGCTCGACACAGGACAAGCATCGAAATCGCCGAGTGGCACGAGTGTATTTGAAGGCTCGAAGCTGCAATCCTCTAAACAAGTCCGCACATGAGCAACATTCCCAAAGCACCAAAGCCTTATCTGGAGCCTTCATAGGGAGGCCCTAAGCCCTCTGCCCAATCGTAAACCAAGCCTAAAGCAGATAGAAGCCTATAGAAAGGAACTGACGCCAAATCGGACCCTAGCCCCTCAAGTGTGATTCCTTCTTGGAATGACAGATTTTATGGTGAATGTCATCTTACAAGGAACTGAGGTAACCAAAGCGACATTGACAGAAGTCCTCCGTGCTTCGGACCTGCACCGCGAAGTCCCCACCTCTGGAGGCTTGCAGGTAGGGTAGAGGGAGGATGAGACTTAGGCTTGTTCTTGGGTTTTTTTGTTGGGGTTTTAGGATTTTCGGACCTTTGGGTCTTCATGGATGAATGAACTGGGCCAAGGCACGCTCAACATCACTCGCTGGCTCTCTCTAGAAAGGAATGTTGAATGGCTCATGCTTACAAAAGGTTGCAGCGTTACACGGCACGCTGCCCTCGACCAACAACAACTGGAAGTCGTCCTGTACCCGTGTCATGTACTCCAGTCCATACTAGACTTGCGGCAACCTTAAAGATTGAGGCACCCTGTGCCCGAAGCCTTGCAATCCCGAACTCTGCTCGCTCTGCGCCTGTCTGGCTCCATCCCGTATATCCAGAAAAGCGATCTATCACATGTTAAATTGTCATGCTGATGCTCGCAGGAACAAGGCAGTGAGAGTAATCACAGGTTCATCAGCAAGGGAAAACCTGACGACTCAGTCCGCGCTTGTATAAAAATGTATACAGTATGCACTTGCACCTCCTGAAGACTGCGAGCTGCCAAAACAGCTGCACCCACACCAAAAAATGCAAGTCAACGAGCAAGCCTCTGCTGAAACCACCCCCAGCATGATTCCCAAAGTCGCTCTCTGACGGGTAGGCTTTGCAAGAACCGCTTCATAAACTTCTGCGAGTGGCCAAAGTAGCAGAAAGTCAACTCCTCACCTGGCTGGATCCTTTTCCACTCAGCTTGGAAAATAACTGATCTTCGGCTTTACGTTCGACTCTTCGATTGCTGCAGAGACATAGCCCGACTTACCATCCATCCCGTGACCATCGCTGTTTATGCCTCGACAAGGAAATCTCACCCTTTTCGGATTCTGTCCTGCATCGAACATGATGCCAAAGTTCAACTTGAAGGGCAGAGGTTTGTACAGGCTGGTCTTGAGGGCAGTGTCGGATGGTACTGGTCACACAATTTGCAAACCGTTGTCGTCGCAACATCACCGGCAACAGGCTTATCGTCACAAAGCCTTTGGATCATAAACAATCAATGAAACTGTCGTCCTCCTTGCCCTCTTGGAGGTTCATTGGTAGTTATGATTAGGGTTATACATTGGGTAACTAGACTTATAACCCCTATTAGGGGACTTATAACCCCACTTATAACTACCCATGAACCTCGAAGTAGGCCCTAAACCCTATACCCTTATATAATCCCTATAGATCCCTTTAAAGGGACCCTTAAAGGAAGCCTTGTAACTACCCATGAACCTCCAAGCTGTCCTGCAGAGTGCTCGCAGTCGAGCGCAGCGCAACGGCTTCGCGCCCGGCGCGACCAGCTCTCTCATCGGATCCAAGGCGACCTCAGCTGTGGCAATGAAGACCTGTATCTTCAGGAACCTACCTTTTTTTAGAGTTCCAAAAACCAGAGTTCTGTATATAAGTCCTTAAGAAGGTAAGCCTTCATACTTAGAAAAGGGCTTGGCTAAGGAGCAGCATAAGGTCCTTATTTACAGGTCGTGAATGGGGTGTAGGAGTGATGGGAACCGGAATGTTTAATGGCAGCGCGTACAGTACCTGAGGAATAGGAGTGATGCGAAACTTGGGCGTTATGTTGGCGTTGATTCGGCCTGCCTCTTGCCTTCCACCTGCCTATGTCTGCCGGCATAAACAAACTAATTACATACATATATACATACATACTATATACATACACATACATACGTACATACATATACGTAGCGACACACAAACATGCAAACGAAGACTGTGACTACAAGTGTGGCGCAGCATTCCTGGCTCCATTGCTACGTTCGTTCAGCGACTCACTCATGCAGTCACCATGATGTATACACTCATCCATCCATTCATGCATGAAAGGGTAGTGTCATTCATTCATTCATTCATTTCATTCATTCATTCAATCATTCATTCATTTCATTCATTCATTCATTCATTTCATTTCATTTCATTCCATTCCATTCATTCATTCATTCATTCATTCATTCATTCATGCATTCATGCATTCATTCATTCATTTCATTCATTCATTCGTTCATTCATTTCATTCATTCATTCATTCATTATTTCATTCATTATTTCATTCATTATTTCATTCATTTCATTCATTATTTCATTCATTTCAATCATTTCATTCATTCCATTCATTCATTCATTTCATTCATTCCATTCATTCATTTCATCATTCATTCATTTCATTCATTCATTCATTCTTTCATTCTTTCATTCATTATTTCATTCATTCATTCATTCATTCTTTCATTCTTTCATTTCATTTAATTTCATTTCATTTCATTCATTCATTCATTCATTAATTCATTCATTCATTCGTTCATTCATTCATTTCATTCATTCCTTCCTTCATTCATTCATTCATTCATTTCATTCATTCAACCATATAATTTCAATTAATACTGACTGTCTTTATTTCTTTTGTATTGTGTTCTTTGCTTAAAAGCAATGTCAGTGGGTAGATTGCTAGTACTCCTCGTGGTAGTTCATGGCCACTGGTCAGTCTGCACTCGCACAGATCCAAAGATCCTCCCAACCTCCACCGAAAGACAGCAAAAAGGCCAAGCTCCAGACTCCTGCATCCTCCAGCCTCAGTGTCGAAGAAAGACTCCGCCGACTGGAGGAAGGACAGAGCTTGCACAGCCAGGTCATTGTGCAACAAGGGCATCGCTTGAATCGAGTGGAGGCCGCAGTGGAAGTAATCATATGGATTCAAGACAACAAGCTCAAGAAGATGGCCGCAGAAGCACACAGTACATGGAAGCAAGCCAAGCCTCAGCAGGGGCCTCATCCTATGGGTGGGCATGGCCACGTGGTACATGCACTCATTCTTCAGGCAAACGTGGAGGCTATGAACAGCGCAAATCCAGATCAAGGCGACCAGATGAGAAAACATCCGCAGTTCAAAGCACTACAACAATTCCTCAATATTTCAGACGAGTCTCAGACAGTGGAGGCAGTGACACAGTACCTCAACAGCATTCACGAAAGGCCCATGACGGAGTGCGTGCAAAGTTGCAGGCCAGTGTCAAAGCGAAAGATGACAGAGGACAAACCGTGGGGATGGAGCGTGATCTACGAGTCTGGTTTGGAAGGCAGCAAGCTGCGCGACTTCATGCTCACGTATGCCCAGCCACTACACGCAGTGTTCCAACTGGTGAGTGTGAGGAAAGGTGTTCCGCGCGAAGATCGCAATCTCAAGAAGGTTGCGGGGATGGTGGCACATTGGGGCAGCGTCGCTGCGCCAACAGAGGACGGAGAGGCACAAGAGGAGGAAGAGCTCGAAGACGATCTGTCAAAGCAGACGCCGATGAAGGACGGCAAGCGGGGAAGAAAGTAAGAGCACTGCGGTACCAAAGAGCCAGACTTCGAAAGAAGACTGAGGAGCTCATTCCCAGTCGCCAGCAATTTCAAAACACTTTCGTTGCCGAGACGGCATGTGCGGTCGCAAGTCCGCACTGCCACGAGGCAGAGTCGAGCGTTTCTGCGCTGCCTGACGCGCAGATGAAGCCTTCTTCGGGAGGCGAACACGGCAGTCAGGTGATACCGCCAAGAACTCGGACAGCACTGCGTGGAGTGCGAAAGCAAAGCATTCGCAGAGCAGCTTATGCCGCAGCGGGTGGACAAGCAGTCCATATCAGAGGTCGTCAAGTTTCTGAAAGCAACTGGCATGAGATTTTTCCTGGCATTTCTTTACCACATCAAGACAGGACGCCTTCATCTCACCAAGAAGGCGGTGCTGTGAAGAAAAGACCTGGGCAGGCACGTAGACACCTCGAAACACTTGTCTCCTTCAACGTGCTGTCAGCGAAAGAAGACAGCTGCAGCAACAAGAGTGCAGGCAGGTGGTTCCTCTTGGAAAGCGTCTTCTTCGAAAACAAGGTGGACATCGCGATGCTGCAGGGGACCATGGAAATTGGTACAAGCAGGACTGTTGGCGAGCACTACGTCATTTACAAGCACGGAGCCTCAAAATGGAGGCCAGGATATGCAGCAGGAGTGGCAGTGATGGTTCGCAAAAACAGGCATGCAGGCGTTGTCACTGTGCATAACATTTCCGAAAGGCTCATGTTTTTGGAGATCAAAGCTTCGAATAGACATGATGTCTACGGGTCGGGATATGCTCCAGGAGAGTGGGACTCAGAGGAGGTCAGGACCAAGTTTTACGATCTCCTGCAGAGCACCATGGAAGCGCTGCCCACGAGAGCAACAAAACACTTGGGCATAGACAACAATGGCACAGTCTGCAAAAGCGAGCCATGTTCTGGAAAGTGGTCCCAGGCTCCAGATGGCCAGCCCTCTGCAAACGGACAAGCTCTACTGGACATTTGCGAGGCGATGACGTTGCGGCTAGCCAATACTCTTTTCCATGACCCACATCTCAGCACCTGCTACACATATGGAAATGGCCAAGAACAATCACGTCAGATTGACTTCATCGCGATTGACTGCAGAGACACCCAAGCGGTACGCCGCGCCCGGACTCAACCACAATGGCCAGTACAGCTTCGCTCGGATGGCAGACCAGATCACGTGCCGGTTCTTGCTGAAGTGAGCTGCCAGAAGCCAAAAACCGCTCCTCAGCGGCGAGGCATGAGATGGAACTGGGAGGCTCTCAGGGACCCAGCGGTCCTCCAGCTCTTCAGACAGGATCTGGAGAGATTGTGCCACGAGCAAGAAGAGCACCAACGAGAGGTCACTGAACATTGGGAATGGTTAAAGCAGCAGCTCCAAGTTCTGCAGCAAAAGCATTTCCTCAAGCCTGATGACGGAATCCGCCAGCCGTACATCACCTCCCCGACGAAGGATCTCATTCATGAAAAGGCCCGATGTCTGAGATCGCTGCGCGAAGCTAGAGAAGCTTTTGATGCTGATGCCGCAGATGAAGCAGCTCACCAGTCCTTTCTAGCACGTCAAGCTCAGCTGAAAGAAGTGAATCGCAAAGTTCGTCAAGCAGTGAAGTTTGACAAGACATGCTGGATCGAAGAACTGGGGCAGGAAGCTCAACGTGCGGCGCACAACAATGATTTTCGAAGGCTCTATGCAATTGAGCGACGTTTGAGTGGCAGGAAAGTGCGTTCTCCCAAAGTTTATGTGCAGCTTGACTCCGGAAGAGCTGCCTTGACTCCGGAAGCAGAGCAGCAGGCATGGCTCCAGCACGGCTTGCGAGTGTTCGGAGGCAGAGAAGTTTCTAGCTGTGAGCGACAATCGGGGCGCTGCAGTCTGGAAGGTCATCTAGCTAATCCCCCAACTGCCCAGGAAATCCAAAAAAGCGTTGGAGCCATGCGTGTCGGCAAAGCCACCAAGCCCGACGGCCCAGGAGCAGCTCTGCTGAAAGCAGGAGATGCTCCAATGCGAAGCCTGCTGATGAAGCTTGCCCAGCACATCGTGGATAACCACGATGACGAAGAAGCTTGTGTTTGTGTCCCTAGTGAGCTTAGAGACCCTAAGATGGTTTGGATATGGAAGAATAAGGGTGATATTCATGATCGTGATGTTTATAGGGGGATAGGATTGCGTCATCACATTTTCCAAGTCATCATAGGCGTCTATGCTTCGAGACTCAAACTTCTTCAACGCAGTGCTATTGATTATTGGCACTATGGGTATAGGGCAGGCAGTAGCCGTACACATGCAATCTTTGTGGTCAGGCATACTCTATGGCGCCTCACCAAGGCAAAGCAGTCTTGGGAATTGGTGCTGTACGACCAAACCAAATATTTTGACATGATCGATCGCTCGGACCTCATTCGGGATCTTCAGGATGCTGGGTTGGGTGTTAGTGATATCAAGGTTTTTGAGGCTACTCTTAACAAGTCGTGTTATGAGTATGGTTCTAGCAACACCCGATACCAGCAGGTCCTCAAGGGAGTCGTCCAAGGAGGGAGGGAGAGTGCAATGCTTAGTTTGGGTCCCATGAATCGTACTCTCAGAGCCCTGAAGCAACGTAGGCTTAGGAGGTTGGCCGGTTCTGGTATTCCTAGTGTTTGTGTCAGGACGAACAGCCAAGCAAGCATCACTCACCCGACCGACACTGCTGCTGCCGCTGACAACACTTACGATCTCACTGACGCTGTGTATGCTGATGATGTTGCTAGCATTGTCTTATGCCCTACTCAGCATGTTGTGACCGAGATGCAGGATTTTTGTGAGGTCGCTGAGGGAGAAGGTCTGTTGCCGAACATTCAGAAGTTTGAAAGAGTCAGGCGTTTCAATGGGGCTGGGGCTGAAAAACTTCGGGATGATTCGGCATACTCCAACCGTCTCCCCAATCGGCAGGGTACCGTGAAAGTTCAAGATAGTGTCAAGTATTTGGGTGACCACTTGGACAGCAGTCACTCAAACCGGCGAGAAATTGATCACCGGCTTCGCTGCGCACGTGCTGCCTTCAACAGTTTGGCCGCCAGGGTTTGGAAGAATCGAGGTTTGCAGCCTGAGACGCTGAAAATTCTGTACGCTTCGCTTGTCAGGTGTCATTTGGTGGGGGCCCTAGAATGTTATGCCTTGACCAAAAGCGAGACGGCCAAACTCGAAAGGCAGCAGAACGTTTTCCTCTGGAGACTGCACTGCTTTTGTCACGACCTCCCCGCCGGGCCTGAGAAGTACAGAGACCGGCCCACGTCTGAGAGACTGCGAGAGTGGCTCGGGGTTCACACTGTTGAGTCGCAACTGGTTGTGGCTAGAGTGTCGTGGTTAGTTGCTAGTAAGCTGGGTGGTCCTCCTCAAGTTTGGGGTCTTGTTACTGGCATCTTTGACTTTGAAGACCAAGCCCCGCGCAGTCCATGGCACTTGCTCTGGGAAAGGGATCTGGGTCAGGTCAAAGCCGTTTTGGGCCCTGATCTTCCTGCACAGCAGACAGAACAGATTTTCCAGCATCTGACTGGGCTCAGTGAAGCCTCTCGCCAGAAGCTGTTGGCCAGATGCTTGTCGTTTAGGAACTGGGAGACGCTTGACAGGGATGTGTTTTGTCCTGACTGTTCTTCTAAGTTTCTGGACCAACGGTGGCTTCGTTTTCACCAGAAACGTGTGCACCCGCACAGAGACCCTAACCCTGAAGATGCCCTTTTGGATATTGAAGCGTACAATCCGACCGGTGTCACTTGTCCTTGTTGTGGGTTTAAGTTCTCTTGTAGGGTTTCCTTGTTGCAGCACGTCAGAAAAAGGGCTGTTTGCAGGGAGGGTCTAAAGTGGATGTGGCAACAGCACAGCAATGGAGTCACGCCTACTTACCCTATATGTGCACTGTCCGGCAAGGCAAAATCCAAGCGGGAAAGAGCCAGAATCCCCAATATGTGGAAGGAGCTTCTTGTTCGACGGCTCACAACAGAAGTGCTGGCACAGGCTCAGTTCTTCAGTGATGAGCAGCGCGGAGCGCGCCATCAGTCCCGCTAGGATGATGCAGCCTGAAGCATCGGGCCCTGGGGGCTGCTTCGGGCCTACTTGGCGCTAGGCCTCGGAGGCAGCGCGCGTGGCACCGCAGAGCGGCAGTAAGACACGCGCAGCGCCAGTTCGAGGCGGACCGAGACGCTCATTGAGTGAGGTCATGAATGAATGAATTTCATCTATCTTTTTATGGCCGTTTCTCATTCGTTCAATCATTCGTTCATTCGTCCAATCATTCTTGCATTAATTCATTAATTCACTCGTCCATTTCCTTCATTCCCGTCGTTTTTTCATTCCATCCACTCCATACCTTCCATTCATTGCGCTCATTCCTTGGAAACACGTCATGTCCATATTTTCATTTGTTGAAATCATTTTAGTAGTTCATTCGTTTCATGTCTTTTTCAGCCCATACTACAGCATTGATTCGTCCATCCATTCCTTCACTCATTCCATTCCATGCATCACCATGTTTCCTCTCATTCCACTCATTCCGTTCATTTAATTCCCTTCATGCCTCTCCTTCGCTTCATGTGTTTATCTTTCATTCTATTCGTCCGTGAACGTTCGTTGCTAATTTCAACCGCTCTTTTCTATGTTGTCATATTTCATGTCATGTCAACTCAGACCATCTACTTTCATTCCGCTCCCCTCAATCCATTCCATTCTAATCTTCGGTCACTCCTCACACATGCATACATACACCCAGTGACATGCCTATGTACATACACGTAAACGACAGCTGCTGTGACAAACCTTAGAAACAAGAAAACCTGCCGCTTCAGGAATTCTTCAAAGATAAACCTCAAAATGCATGCCAAGCTTCTTCGCCAGGAGGCAGGCCTGAGGGACGTTGATTAGGGCATAACATTTGCGTTTAGGGTTGACCCTTACCACCCAACATCTTCCAGTTTAGGCTTCCTTATCATTGTTGATTGGGAGTTGGGGGCGTTGCACAGCAGATTTAAAAATGGTTCGGTCTCACCCAGTTGCGCCTGGCCAGAGGCAAGCGCAGTTGGGAAAGCAGGCGTGGTTCAGCTTGCCTTAGCTGCGACAGGCCCAAACACTCCGTAAATCCTCTAAACAGAAACGGGCAACCATCCTAGTAACCTGAAGTTCCTAGGACAGCACAAAGCGGCAATAGCTATAAGCCCCAAACAGCTCACAGTCACCCTGGTGGGTCCCTCTGGTTCGTATCCGACTTCATGTGACGGGAGAAAAGCCACGGGAAAAAAAACACCGTCTTTAACTTTCCAAGTAGCTCATGAGCCCGAAGACACAGCGGCCGCCCTGGCACCAGAAACACTGGTGAAGCTGCGTGAGAGAATGATCAACCTAGACCCTCCATCTACCCTCCATTAGACCCTAAGTACCCACTACAAGTATTTGGGACCATATACCCCTATTTGAGGGTACAAGGAGGGTTCTGGAAGGTTGCGTGGCTTCATCTGCGTTGGCCTCATGAAAGATTGAGGGTCTATGTGGAGTCAGGGGTTTGGGGACCGCATAAACGCTTGGCTTGTTTGGGTTTAGAAGGCCCCTAAAGTGTGCACTGGCGCACCGAGGTTCTGCAATCCTGAGCCCTGAAGCCCCTTACGCTCCAAATATCATGAGGATCCTTAGCAACCTCTACGGCGAAAGAAGCATTTCCGCAAAGTACATAAGCCCAGCAAGAACGAATAGCGATCATAACCGCCCCCGCTACAGACCCATCACTACCGCCCGAAATTCATCAACCATCCTAACGCCCATCTAGCACCCCATGTAAACCCAACAAATGCCTTCCGAAAGCCTCCCAGGAGCCGTGCAATGGAAAGGATGCAAACTTCGAGAGCAGTAGGCCGGTGAGGATGGCGTCTGCCTCTCGAAAAAACAAAACTGGGTTGGCCTTTAAACACCCTGAAAAACATTTATATATAGGGCCCCTTATAAACCCAAATAAGGAAAATAAAAATAGTCCCAAAATCCAACCTAGAAAACTTGTGGGTGGTTGTCGAGATGATGGTCCCGTTTGGGGTATCCTAAATATTTGGTGCCGTATTACAACCGGGATCCAAAAAGGAACCATAATGTTGACAACCACCCATATGATTATCATAGTTATGATCTAACAGATTCATGTAAACTTTGGGCTTAGGGTCTAAGGCTCTGCAGCTTTTTTTCCGGTATGCGTGAAGGCCGCATCCCAAACATATCATATCAGACCTCCTTGGAAGCTTCCTGTCAGGTTTCCAACAGGGGTATTTAAGGTCTATGAAATTTCGGGTAAGGCGGCCTAATTTATTTGTATCGGGCATCGAACCCTAAACCCGAAAACCCTAAACCCCTACAGCCCTAAAGCCCTCAACCCTATACCCCTAAACAGTCAAACCGTTACAACCCTCAACCCTATATCCCTAAACCCTAAAAACCCTCAACCCTATACCCCTAAACCCCTAAACCCTTAAACCCTAAACCCTCAAACCGTAAAAAAAACAAAACCCGTCAACCGCGTTTTTTTTTATCATTTCCAGCGCAAGGCAAAGTCGACCTGAACCCGGACATCTTCCCTTTCAGATGACAGGTTTAGGGTTTAGGGGTATAGGGTTTAGGTTTAAGGGGTTCCTTGGTTAAACGCCCCCTTTGTTCATTTTTGCAGCAGGCTTCGTACCTCGCCTAAGATATCCTGAACCATACACCCTAAAACCCTAAAACCTTCATACAAAACTGTTCAAAAGGTATACATTTTCACTTGAGGGGGGGAGATCTGGCTAAGCAAAGCTCGAACCAAGAAGGTGCCGGTCTGTAGGTCGGCAAGCTCCTGGTAGCCGTTCATGTTTAGGGATGTAGGGAAGTACCCTAAACCCTAAACCTAAACCGCGGGGTTTAGGGTTTAGGGTTTAGGTTTAGGAGTTTCGGGCTTCGGCGCTCACTGAGACCTCTGAAGCCAAAGACCCGGGTCCTGGAACTGTCACTCACGATATCGAACTTCTAGACATAAACCCCCCAAGCCCTTTTGCAACTGGCTTTTGATAATAAGGATCCTACTATTTAGGGTACTATATTGGGGTCCTCCATTTTCGGAAACTCCCATATGGGAGTTTCCGAAAATGAGGGGTACCTTATTTTGGGGTCCTTATAATAGGGATCCTAATTATTTAGGGTGCTATATTGGGGTCCCCCATTTTCGGAAACTCCCATAGAAACCCCAAGCTTCCACAGCTCGGACCCGGTGATGCCTCCGGCCTCTGCCCTGCCGGCTAAACCCAAAGAGGCGAGAGCGGCCGCAAATCGAGCCGCAGCCGCACCTGAAGTTAGAAGTTTCCGAAAATTAAGGGTACCGGGTGCCTTATATTTCGGGGTCCTTTAAAGGGTTACTATAAGGGTACTATAAGGGTTCCTTTAGAGGGCTCTATAAGGGGAAAGAGTTCCCGAAAACTAGGGTTATGTTGGGGTCCTTGATAATAAGGATCCTACTTAGGGTACTATATTCGGGTACCCCTATTTTCGGAAACTCCCATTTAGGAGTTGGGAAAGTCTTGGGGATGAAGGATCCCCTTTAAAGGAATCTATCAGGATTTTAGGCTTCTCCTTAAAGGGTACAATAGGGTCCTATACCATGACCCCCCAACTACCCTCTAACATACCCCAATTACCTACGACTAAGGGCCATTAGGGCTCCATTAAAGAGGGGTCCTGGTACTCGGGCTCCCTTTAAGGGAGCCTCCGACCGGGGAAGGCCACTAAGGTTTCAAGTTTGGGATCTAAGGTTGCCACATGCACCATACACTTACCTTTGGTTAGTAGGGAATGGAGGAATGGGGTACAATTATAATTACTATTACTACCATTCTTCCATTCCCTACTAACCAAAGGTAAGTACATGTAACCGTGCGGGCTTACTTATGAACGTGCTCACGTCAAGTGGTGTGCATACCCTAAACCCTAAACCCAACACACAAAATCTTCCAGGCAACGGGGTCCTGCATACATACACACGCACCAAGCCATTTTCTTACTAAAGCAATAAGCCACAGACATAAAAGGTTAAGCTTTCCGACTCCTACTAAACTATAAGAACCCGAAAAGTCTGAAGGTTAGGTATTGGGGATCTAAGATTTGCCTGCCCAGTACATGTACGGGCTTGGGGGGGATCCCAGCCGTCGCAGCTCCGTCCACATCTCTTCACGAGGTATACTATACAGGAAATATAAGAGGGGTTAAAAGAGCATGATGTCTTCAACCCCGAAATCATATTCTTTGGGGGAACATGCAAAAACAACTCCAACTCTGGTATGTGTCCGGAAGCACGGATTCGTGTGTAGGTTCTCTCTCGGTGTAAACGGTATCCGTGCCACAGAGACAGTCCCTTGCAACATTTTTGATGTTCCTCCTGCGTTCCTTCTGGTCTTGGATGCTGTCACGGCTTTGCTGAGCCGAAGTCAAACCCTGAGGCCCAAGTACTTGACTGCCAAATGAGAAGATCTCCGGACCTGTATGCGCAACCTGTGCCATAATCTAATCCAAGCGCAAACAGAGATGCAAGGATGTTTGGCCCAGGGGACATCTGGCAGCATCCGGCGGGTCAAAGGCTGTACAAGGACCCCCAGCATGCATTCATCTTACCGGTGCCCAGGGAGAATGGGCAGCGGATCGCTGTAACCGTCCCTATATCAACCCTTGATAGTAAACTTGATTTTTAGTCCTGCTAGCAACTAGTCCTTCCTCCACTCTCCCTTAAGCGCCAGTCGGCCATTGCTGTGGCGGACTCGGTGGGCAAGGACGCAGCGCAGTAACCAGCTGCGAACATGATAGTAGAAAACAGGGGTGATGCGTGCTCCTGTGCAAAACAATCATGATCCCAAGTGGCGGAAAACACTGGACATGAATTCATGACTTAACTACACTTGGGCTTCAAATATGCTTGGAAGTGAGACTCAACCACACCCCTAAAAAGCTTACATCCACACACGCGCACACACACACGAAGAACTCCGAAGAACACTGGACATAGATCCTTGAACCTTGAAACCATAAACATCCTGAAACCCTGGGAACCGTAAACCCGATGCCCGCAGAGTTCCGCGTGCAAAACTTGGCCGTGGAAAAGCGCAAAAGTGGCCCTTTCTTTTCAGAGAGCACAACAAATACCTCGTAGTAAGTTACAAACAAAGAACTCAAGTTGATTCCTAGTATTTTGTGCATCTGCATCGGATTTCTTCGTAATGTCTTGAGTTATGGAGCTTTTTCCTTGCTTGTCTTCGTATGACGGTCCAGGACATTCCAGTTTCCAGTGGCAGTGTGCTCTCCGGGTTCCGTTGCGCGACGGGGTCTTCAAACATGTCTTTCAAGGTGAGCTTGACAGAAAACTCTCCCAGGCAAGGGATTTAAAGCTCCGGGTTCGGGTTCAAGATAAGTGTCGAGATTACTTCCCTTCTTTTTGCCACTGGGCTTGGGTTAGCCAGATCCTTGCATGGCGGCCTTTCGTGTTCACCCGACGGAATCCCTACCTTAGCCCCAAATCACCTACCTTTTTAAGGACTTATATAAAGAAATCATATTAGGGATCCCTAAAAATGGTAGGTTCCTTAGGGTCCAGGTAGACCCTGAACTCCTTTGTGATCAACGGCCTCTCGGACCGAAACGGGCTCCTCCAGCCTCAAAGCCTGTAAGGGCAGTGGTGAGCACTCCAAGAGCAGGCTATCTAAGGGCCTACGTAATCATATCGTGGTATGACCAAACATGGTGTATGAATAGTCTGATCACGCAAAATGTTAGCTGGAGCTACAGGTAAACAAGACAGAAGGCCCGAAGCCAAGCCGGAAAGGAGTTGTTCCTTCCGAGCGAAGCGGCCTAAGCTTTTGAAATCCTAAACTCCGAGCCTAAACCCGTTGGGACCCGCAAACCCTTCTCCCAAAACCTCGGCCCCTGTCCGATAGTATTGCCAATTGCAGTATACCTATAGTCTCCATCGTAGTTCCTTTTTGTGGTTAACCAGTTTTATGGTTAGGACCCTATAATAAAGATTTGGGTTAACCAAAAAAAGGAACTACAATGGAGGCTATAGGTATAGCTACGAGTAGTCTAAGTATAAATAACAATAGGGAGGGCTAGGGGATGGGGATGGTGACGTTTCAGGCTGCTTTATGACGGCCCCGAGCACAATCATTGACAGACTCACAAGCCCCACAACATCATGAATTAGGCCTTTTGTCCAATGAACATTTTCAATATAATCCGATGTGGATCAGCCACCAGATGAGTTCTCTGGTACTTGCGGCCCCCGCCAGGACTGCAGCGACTAAGGTAAG